TGTCCAATCTGTCCAATAGAGAGTGTGGTTGATGTTAGTGTTAAAGTGCATTTCTAACATGTTGTACATCTCGTCCCATCTCCTTGTTGGTCCAATGTGATGGAGATAAAACTCTTCCGCACGATCAGCCAAGATATCAGGAAATACTGCATGGTATTGATCTTCAGTGATCCTGAGGCGTCGACAAAAACTGATAAAGACCTTTGCCTTGTCGTACAGGATATCGTACGGCTTGCCCGTATAATTCCTGTCCTTTCTCCATCCCTTCTGGAAGATTGAGATTGTAGTTGGCTCGCACAATCCATTCTGGACTATTCGTCTTGGTGGTAGGTCATAGATGCTGTCTCCTTGATGTAAAGGTGTTGTACGACCCTGGATTTGTGGAAAACTCTCAACCTCCTGTGTGAATCTTGTTCCAGGAGGCATGTTTCCTGAAGCTGATTGTGACTGCTCTCGTACGATTGATGTTTGAGTTGTCTGTGTATCGTACGGGGGTTCGATTGGCTCTGTTGTCGGTTCAGCTGTGTTTTGGGGTAAAGTTGATTCAGGGTTTCGAACAGGTGTTTGAGTTGTTGTAATCGTACGACTTGGTGTAAGTGCTGTACGAGTAGAAAGCTGTTCTTCTTGCTCATCAAACTTCCTCCCAATCTCCTTGATGAATTCAACTAGCTGTTGATTCACATTTCTTATTGGCGGTAATCGGAATCCCTTTAGCTCAATAAGTCGTATGAACTCTGCCCTGAACGCACGATAGACCTTTTCCCATTGGAAGGTAGACCATTCGTTAAAATCTTCGTACAGTGATATTGTCAGGTTTTCCTTTGATTGCCTAAGATGAAGCATTTCCATGTTGATGTACGCAATGTACGTAGTCATCTCTTCTTCGGACGGTGCCTGTGTAATATCGACTGGATTTCCCCAGCGTCTAGGATTCACAGTCTTCTTCCACGTGTGCAGTGGGACTTCGCTCCTTGCACTTATTTCTTCGTACGTTGGCAGGTATCCATCAATATTGTCATATTGGCTTTGACGATTGTCTTCTGGATCCTCTTGGGAAGCCATGTTGTGTTCGGTAGTCGTTTCGTATCGTACGACGTCAAAATTGGTTTGTTTGGTGCCGTGGCGCACACTTTGTACTCTACGTACAGTACAATAAAGATTCTCGTCCGGTTCAGCTTAGCAGGCGACAACGGGAATCTGTCTTGTACGATAGTAAAGCAAAAGTCGTCTTTATCCTATCTACCCGGTTCAGCTTAGCAGGCGACAATAGGTAGGATTAAGGCTTCTTAGCACAAGAGACTTTCTAGCGTGACCCCTTAGGTATCCCTGAGGATTTCTCGCCTCGCACGAAGTGCAAGACTACCCGGTAGCCCGGCCGTAAAGCCTAAGTCTTGTCTCTTCACTCTTGCTAATCTGTGATTGCACAAAGCAATCGCACGGATTGCCAAGCAACCACTGATCAGTGTTGAATGGATTCTCTCTTCCTGAGAGAACCCGTTTGTACGATCGTACTCGGGTTAAAGTTAGGGTGAACCAAAGATGTATTTTCCGTGATTATCTTCCTAACTACAAGACTTGGCTTTCGTACACAAGATATATGATCTCGTACGTCCCTGAGTCAGTTCGGCATGAATATACTTTTGATCCCCTCAATGGATAACCGAGAGCCGAATATCCAGTCTGTGCCCTCTGCCATGATGTGTGTCCCTGAGTCGTGCGTGTCGTACAACCAGCTGGTGCTGTTATTCCAACATAAATATTATTAATATAATATTACTATATAAATTTTATTATTATATAGCTCTTATACTTATTTAAGACTAGTAGTCTAGCTTAATTAGGCTAAAAGGAAATAGTTTATAGTAAAAAGACTTTTAGTAGCTACTTAATAGTAGTTTTATTAGTTATTTATTTATTTTTTGTTATTATAAACTTTTATTTATTATAAGGGCTAAGATCTAAAAAAAACTATTATTATTAAATTATTTTACTTTTATATATTATAAGTAGATATAATACTAGGCTATTAGTTAAGATATACTTAATAATAAATACCTAGGCTTATAATCTAAGCTATTTTTTATATATAAACTTTATTTTTACTTTATTTAATATTAGCTTATTTATTTTTTAACTTTTAAGAATACAAGTTTTATTTATATTATATTTATTAGTTAGCTAAATAACTAATATTACTAAGATTATAAAATACCTAAATTAGTCCCTAATAATCTTAGTAAATACTTTATTAATATATTTAAAATTAATAAATTAACTTTTTTAGACCTTAATAAATAAGTTTCTTTATATAAAGGCATCTAATTATCTTTTTTTTAGAGGCTAAGTATTTCTTATAGTATTTAAGATACACTAAGTAAATTCCTTAACTTATTAATATATTAGCATAAGCTTAAAGTTAGCTTAGATTTATACTTAGCTAGCTAGCTTAGCCTCTTGACTAATAGAGAGCCTCTAGAGGTCTTTAAATGTTACTACTTTAAGTTAAGTACCCTTTAATCGGCTCTAAAGTATTAATCGTAGTACTCCTTATCGCTTAGAGGCATCACAAACAAATACCTTATTTAAAATATTAGCAAGCGCTTAATGGACTTTAAATTCTATGTACTAAGGCATTAAGCTATAAAGAATAGATACTAAAGAAATAAGATTATTTAGTAAAGAATAGAAAATGTTGTAATAGTTAGAAGTTAGAGGGCATCTAGAAAATGGGTGGCTAGGCGGCATTTTCTGGTGGCCGAAATGCAGGGGTGGCCGAAAAGTGGGTGCTTTGACTTATCGAGTGGACTTGAACACCTCGGAACTTTTGTCTTCTGATAACGTTTTTACCTAAGACGGCAATTGGAATAGGAATAGCGTACTGCTAGAACCATGGGGCAACTTGGGGATGCCTTGAACTGGATTTTACGACAGTATGTTCTCTAAATAAGAGACCAAGGATGAGACAGTATCTGACCGCCTTCTACGATAGAGCTAGTGTATGAACGCTGAACTAGCTACCTTCGGTTAGCCTCTGTTCGAACTCGAATTGGTCGGCAGTATCAAGGTTATGGCGCAACGACATGCAGGTGATTGACAATCCTTAACAATTTACCATCCCAGTCTTCCACACACGTCTTTGGTCGAAGATTCGGATGGTAAACTTAGTTCTTAATTAAAGGCTAGATGCCACGCGCACGAGTAGCGGTTTGTGGATCCTAAGCTGGGAATGGCAAGCTACGCACATGTGTCAATCACGTCAGGCTCAGAGCTGAGGTACTGTTAGACCTGTGTGCCATGCTCTATGCCTCTGAGCACCGAAATATCGCTCTATACATGATGCTCCGAATTATGAGGTATATGATGTCCCTTACTAGACCTGAAGACACCTAAATTTGTCACACCAATTCTCTGAGGAGGGGTTTCGAGCAAATATCCCATTTTGCTGTTCAGTTTGAATGATTCCCAGATGAGATTTGAGGCGTAGCTTGAAAATGTGTTAAGTGCTGTTTGGATTTTTCTGCCCGTCAACATCCACGATAATACAGCGGGAGTGTGACACGCCCTAGCCAATGTAGAAAAGAAACGTCCTTCTCCCACGTCTGGTAAGTGTTCGGATGAATAACGACACACACCCCTCTTAACTGTGCAGTGCAGTAGCCCGCATCAAGGCCATCCGTCGGTGTTATGGTTCATCAGACTTGCTGGGACATCGCTCGTATCTGCACAGACAACGTAACCAGCATCACTTCCATCAAACCTTTGAGCAGAAAGTGGCGAATTAATAGGTGAATACCCCTTTTTACAACGGCCGTTCTGAGTGCAGAGGTTGATGACAAATTGACTTTGGGAAACCGATCGTTGAAGAAAGGGGAGAATTGGTGTATGAAACCAAGGAAAATTTCTTTGTTTGATTGATTGGATTATCCTAGTTGTCGTCTACTTCCTAGCATTCTGACTTCTGGTATTTGATCCTGCCGTGAGGGGCCGAATGCACGTCATATTGAGAGCTGGTGAATCAATAAGTGTACTGAAATCGTGACTATGAATGTGTCCTACTTATAAAGTAAACAGACAATCTTGCATCTAGAGATAACGTAAGCAGACCTGCGCATGCTCGTGGATGAGCTCATGTTTGATAAGCAAACAGTAACCTGTTGCCACGATAGTCGGACTATTGCTGTAGCCTATATTCAAGCCGATGCCTTTTTTAAAGCCTCGCAATTTTTTTCACCCGACAGCTCGTGCCTAGTATTTCCAACTGTCTCATTCGGCAATTCGTACAATGTAACGCCTGAGCCATCTGCTTCGTAGCGTTGCTGGCTTCGAACAGGTATTTCATGCTTCCATTGCACTGGAACCGAGGGTCCTACGTCTTATCTTGCTTCGCCATATCCCATGGCTGCTTTTTTCTTTTGAATATGTTTCCAGGCCATCCATCCCAGGAGAGAGACGACAATCAGTGTCACTAAGGTGCCACCGATTGCGATACCTGCTACTGCTCCTTTCGATAAGCCCCTATCTGCAGATTCCGGGCCAGGTGATGATTGTGGATTCGAATCGGAAAAGGTTGTGGTCGGTGCAGTATTAAGAGCTGTTGAGGTTGGTGTTGTTGAAGCTGAAGACGTCGAAGATGATGGATCGGTAATATTGAAATAGTGGCATGTAATGATATCTGATGTGGTACCACTTCAGCGAGTAGCTTCTGTGTCAATCTACGAAGTCTTAGCGATGAACAAGACCAAGTAAAGAGAACTACAAACAAGGCCATTTGCTGTCATATATGAAGGATCAAACTGAAAACGGCTATCTCTAAACGCTTCATAGTAATCAAAGATAAACGCTTGAAGACAGTGGCACCATAATCAACTCAAAAAACTACCTCGACTCGATCTATAACTGCCAGTATATTCATTGTCTTTCCAGAAGCCAGAAACCCCCTCTGATAGATGTACGCCGCGTTATCCTAAATGCCAGTTTGCTAAAGGCTCGAACCGGAACTATCATAGCTTCATGATTGGTTCGGTAATGCTGCCATTGTAATCGGGTGCCGGGGATTGTTCGACTTCCACTTTAGCTGCCAATTCCGTCCAGTTCTCTATCGTATACTTCACAACGTCGTTGGCCCACATGTAGTCCTGCCACTCATTGTCGCACCACCGGTCCGCACGATCATCACCAACGATAGCCTTACGGATTGCATCATCCCTCTTTCTTTGCTCCTCTCCATCCGCCAAGTGAAGACTTTGACCTGTGGAGGCGGCGCTGGCAGCAATCTTCTCCGCTCGCTCCTTCCGAACGGCTTCATACGCTCTCAGCGCGAGAGGCACATTCGATGTGCAGGTCAAAGCGGCGGCGAGCACTGCGGCATCTTCGATGGCATTCGCGGCCCCTTGGGCTACGTATGGAAGCATGGGGTGACATGCATCACCGACTAGTCCAACACTACCACGAACCCAGCGGGGCATTGCCGGATATGTGTCCAAGGTCCATTCCAAAATGCCTTCCTCCGCGTGGCTCAGCCAGGCCTGTATGGCGGGGGACCAGCCCTTGTAGAAGTCTAGCATCGCTTTTCGGTTCCCCGTCGTGGACCAAACGTCTTCTGTATTTGCATCTCTTTGTGCTGCATTCTTAGCGGGATGGAGAAGAACAAGGTTATACGCTGTGTTCCTCTTCACTGGATACGCCATTACGTGACCTCCCGGTCCCATGTAGCGCACAGCTACGTTCTGATCAAGCATGTCAAGCAGTGTCTTGTCATGCTTGACCTTCTCGCGAGGGATGAGAAGTCTGTACGCTGCATCGCCCGCTGGGAGCGGCAGGTCTATATTACCGGTCACTCTAGCCAACTGTTTCCTCACTGTCGAATTGATACCGTCGGCGGCTATGACAATGTTGCCAATAACCCAGGAGAAGTCGTTTGTACGCAAATCCTTGACTTGAACCCAAGGCAGGAATAATGGATGGACGCCGACAACAACTTGTGACGTTCGAATGCGACATCCGGCCTGTAAGGCGGCTTTGAGAAGAACGCATTGCAGATCACCCCGGTGTATTACACCCATTGGAGCGCCGTATCGAAGACCGATGGATGGCATCAACGGGGTTGAGCCGAGTTCATCGTCGCTATCATATCGTCTAGCACACCAAGGATTAGCTAGCTGGCCAAGTGAACTCAAAGCAGAATGGGAAATGACTGGAATCTGATAGGGAGACTACGGGGATAGATAGAGAAGCTGCATTGGCTTTGGGTTTAAGAAATGCAGAACTGCTGGTGCACCGTGCTATGCTTACCTGATACTGACTCTAGAGAGAACAGATATGTGCTGCATCACCTCTTCCAGAACCCCCAACCTTTGCAGAATCCGAGTCGCATTTGGAGCGAGCTGTAGCCCAGCACCGGCCTCGGAAATCTTGGGCACTCTCTCGAGGATCGTTACGGAGTGGCCAGTTTGCGCAAGTGCAATACCCGCTGAGAGACCGGCAACACCTGCGCCAATGATGATGACGTTGCGGGGCTTCACGGCCCGGCGATATGTAAAGGAATATTCGTCCTGGGGAGTCTCCATCACGACCAAGGCTTCTATTCGTTGAACAACGTGGCAGTTTCGGCGGAACAATACTGAGGATGACAGATTCCCCCCCCTTATATCTCTTCGGTCAGACCATGCATTCAGAAACCACAGATACATTGGCGTTTCCACCCACCCATGTCCTCCACAAACACTTTTTTACCCGCTTTCCCGGCTGGGAGTGTCATTTTGATAGGCTTAGGACAGTGAGATCAGCCCTCCCAGACTCTTGAAAGGTCTGCAGTATCGAAGGATGAACCTTTGGAACTGGCAAAGGGGCGTAGACTAGACATGGGCTGAATCCCAAGACCCTTTCAGTATTCACTGCACGTGCTCTCGAAGCAAGGTAGCTCTCCCATTATCCTGGTCTCCGCAGGTAGCCTAGGCAGAACCATAGGGTAGGGACGATGGCAAACGACACTCGTGGCCTTTTTATTAATGGTACATGTGATAGGGGACTTCAGCCCAATCCGTGATCATGAATAGCCAGTATCATACATAATATTGATGCAGGACAACGGCGCTGAATCGCGGCCAGGCTTCCCAAAGGCTGGCTGTCAGGGGTCGCGATAAGTCAGCAGGCGAGGGTGGAGCACCCTGAATGCGCAGTAAGGGCGCAGCTCTTCAGATGGTAGTGCGTACGACATAATGTGATCACACGGGGCGCGACAAGGAAGAAAGGAGCAGTGTTTAGCTTCATCATCCCCAGATACATACCTGAGAGTTCGCATTTCACTCTAGTGACAACCATTTTGACAGTGGCTTAGCACCCATCTCATATGTCATAACCCTGGTCCAAGTAGCTTGCATATCTAAAGTCAGCCTGCTGTCATGCCTACATGAATGAAGGATACGGAGACGCCCCAGTCGCAAACGAGGCGAAGTATCGGCTAAAGACATTGGACAGGGGCATGCCTCCAGGCCTTTGACAGAAAGTAAACTTCTACAAAGTACTTGCACTTGCCTATTGATTGAGCCACCCGAGCCAATCAGACTGAAGACGAGTCGGAAACAATAAAAGATCTCTTGGGGTGGAGCCGCTGCAGCTGATCCTTCAGATCCCAAGATACAGCGTAGTAATTCGCGCATGGAAGGAAAACCCTCTTATCTCTTGCTTGTGAGTGCGTCTTTCCAAAAGAACTTTGGAAGCGAGTCAACGGCTGGCAACGCGGTCTAGAAGTGTGGTAACACTGACGTACATGCAGTGGGTGGACTCTGCGAATGGACAAGACACTAAAGTGGGGTGCCTCCTAGTTGTTTGTGGAACTGCTTACGGATAAGCCCTTTCTAAGAGAGTCCGTCCGCTAGGATGCCGGCTTGGCAAGATCCCTGTCAAAAGAATATATGGATATTATCTTCAGTTCCCATAGGCGCGTGCATCGTGGCAGAGACAGGACTCGGCTCGTGCCAGCATGTGTCCAAGTTGCCCGTCGGATGGATTGCACTTGTTTGGGTAATGTGTGGCGAAAGATACGTCTCGGGATAGCCCGAAGGTAGAAATTCTTACCTATATCGTGCTGTTTGTCGTGCAGATGAGATACTCTGCCCTCCCAAGGTTATAGGCCTCTTTAGCTCTGACACGTTGCCATGTCTGGATTTGATGTTTTCCATGAGGTGGCGAACCGCCTCGCCGGTTCACCTTCCGTGGCTCTTGCATTGTCAGTCGCAATCATCTTCCTCGTGATCAGTTGCTTCCGACCAACCTCCAATTCACCGCCGCGCCTCAAAGAGACCATCCCATTTATCACTAATACAATACAATACCTGACCAATGCTGGTGTTTTCATTGACAACGTGGCGTAAGACCACATTTCTCGGTCCCTACTCCACGCTGAATGCTGACTCTTGCTTTCCAGGGAGACTCTGAATGCCACCGGGACCAACATCGTCAAATTCTACGTGGGTTTCATGCCCGCTTACGTAGTGACTGGCACAAAGAATGTTCAATATGTTCTCAATTCGCCGGCGCTCCTGGACGGAAACTTCCTGCAGCTTATCCTAATGGATAAGCACTGGGGCTTGTCCGATCATGAGATTAGCAAGTTTGCCAATGACAAGTCTGGGAGGTCCAAGGTCCCGGCGAAAGTGTTGGACACGCCCGAAGACCAACGGTACTGGCTGGGACACGACCGTCTATACGTGGAGTATCTCAGCAATCGAAAACACTCCGATGCGCTCGCCGATTCGTTTTACACTTTGTTCGCAGAGCGATTGGACAAGCAGTTCACTACGGAATGGGCGACTGTTCAGTTGTTTGATTTGCTGAAAGTATCCATGGCAGAGAGCGCCATCATTTCGCTCTTCGGGTCGAAGATTATCGACCTGAATCCCGGTTTCGTCGATTGTTACTGGGACTTTGACGACGTTGCTGGCACTCTAGCTTGGGGGCTGCCAAAAGTCTTTCAACGCAAGTCCATCACGGCCAAGGACAAGCTCCACTCGATGACAAGGAAGCACATTGATTCTGCGTGGGAGCACTTTCGATGGGATGGTCCAGATGCAGAGTCCACCTGGGAGCCTCACTTTGGCTCAAGATTGTCTCGCGAGACAGCGAAGTGGCTCCGTGAAGGGGGGTTCTCAAACCAAGCAGCCGCTGGTCACACCCTTGCATCACTTTTCGGGTGAGTTGGACGATGGCCCCAAGTAAAAAAGAAAGAAAAAGTCTCAATTGTTCAAAATGCTAACACTAACTGACAGCCTCAACGGCAACACCGTTCCCGTGACGACGTGGGCAATGATCGAGGTGATCAAGGACGCGTCCCTCTTTCAGGCCGTTCGGGACGAATCGCTCAGCGCGTACACGACAGACCCAGTCACAGGGGAGCGTCGGATTGATGCGAAAAGGCTCATCAATCTTCCTCTCATGCAATCTCTCTACGTCGAAATCATGCGTCTCCACGTGTCCTTCAACGTAACGCGCAAAGCCACCCAGCCCTTGTGATTGACGGGTGCAACATCGAGAAAGGAGCGCTCGTGCAGACGTGCTCGCGAATTGCCCACTTCGAAGAAGACGTCTGGGGCACAGAAGGTCACCCGGCATCCGAGTTCTGGGCCTGGCGTCACGTCAAATATGTCGACGAAGTTGACGAAGCCAGTGGTAAGACAGTTCGTCAGCCGCAGTTCGCAATGAAAGGCCGACCGAGCTCATTCTTCCCCTACGGTACGTAGATTCTCCCATGGCGCTTGGTTAATTCATTTATTCCCCAGTCTGCAAATCGGCTAACAGCTCATCGTTCATTTGTTACAGGCGGTGGATACGTGATGTGCCCTGGTCGCCACTTTGCTAAGCAAGAGATAATGCTCGCGATTGCAGTACTGGTCACAAAGTTCGAAATCGAGTTCGTCGAATGGACCAACTCGGACGGGTCGAAATCTGACAAGCCACCGCAAGATGATGCACGCTTTGCCGGATTCATAGCCATGTCGCCTGACCGCGATGCCAAGATTCGGTGGAGAAGACGATGGTGAGAGCCAAGTTGATTCAACATTGAAAGTCCCACGAAGCAATTTCACAACACCCACGGTTAGATTTTAACAATAATATGGTCTTGATGTGACGATTAAAATGTGGACATTGGGATAGGTCGGTCGTCTAGTGGCCGTTTTGGGGAGTGTCTGTTATAGCTGTGCATGCTGTGGAAAAGAGAGCCGAATGAAGTAGAGCTATCGAAAGGGAAGAAATACCTTACTGACAAAGTTGAAGCTACAGAAGGAACTTCCCGCCACAAGTATATGGTCACTGTGTATCTTCATTTGTTGACTAGTTCATGGGCCATTTGCTGTTCTGGAATAGACAACGCTAGACCACGTATTATTTTCTCAAAAAATAACTGAGAAGCCGAAATGACGCAGCCTTATTTGCGCCACATACGTTTCGTTACGTTTCTCGTGCTGCCCTGTAAGCCACTCACCTGGATCCCCATTTTTCACTTTTTGCATACCTGGAATCTGATACAGGAAGCTGGCTGGGCTCAGTAGTCGCAATTATCAGCCGGAATTACGGCATCCGACACTAGTGATATCTCTCCGTTGAGCGGCAGGAACACCAGATACAGGTATGGCTACGACGCTAGCTTAGGGACCAGGCAGCAGGATAGCCAAGTATGGGCCCAAGAGGATTCAAGTTGTCAGGCAGATGTTTGTGATCCAGAAGCTGCCAATGAGGTGGAATATGATGGGGCAAGAATTCCCCAGGAATTGAATCTAGCCCCAGTCAATGGTGAGGTTACGCGGCTACGGAAGTGCTTTACAGGCGGACGAATAGAAAGATTTCTATACATGGTCAATTCATTCAAATGGAGCAAACAATGTTGTCTCAGAATGCATATGTTTGTTGTAGTATCGGTAGGCTGACAGGTGTAAGCCGCACTTAGGAGATGCTTATCAACGCTTGTGCCACTCGACCCTTGTTGGCACGGTATCTAGCCCCGTGGCCCTTCTCTATCCCACGGACTGCCACAAGAAGCTATTTTCGCCTAGAAAGGGGAGGAATGCCGGTTAGACTTACAGACAAGGATGTTTGGTCCAATAGGCAAGTCTAAAAGCGAATGTATCTGGAGAAAAATCGGAGAAATTTGAAATGGCGTCTTGCGGCTGTGGATGGGATAACCCCTGTGTAGCCTTTACTTGCACAACCCCGTACACAACTCAAAGGGTCTAAGAGACTAGCTGCAAGAACCCACTCTCCTGGTATCTTGGCCATGCTTACTATGTAGTCGAAGGAGTCGAAGGAATCGGAAGGGGTCCATACATTCTTCGTATCCCAACCATACGGATACTCCCGCTGGGGTTCACTCCACCAGTTGATCCACAGAGGCTGTAACCTTTCTCCACAAGGCTCCTTACTTGGCAGTTATAGCGCTAAAGTCCTATTTACATCCCACTATGGGAAGACGTCTTATCGCGCAGCGCGAGCAGAAATATATTGAAAGGATTACTAGGCGCTGCTGAGAAGGCAATACACGGCTCGGATAATGAACGCCCCCCACGATGACGAGCCACAACTGGTAGACGTGAACCTTTTGGCAGGGCATCTTGCCGAGATTTCAATAATTACACGAGCCTTAGTGAAGAACATGGCCTAGCGTCACAGCCCATCTGGGAGGAACTACAGGCTATGTGATGCTGTCCGAGAGTTCTGCGGGTATATATCTGCACTTCATGCAATACCGCCATCCATGTATCTCCCCTCTCTCGCCGTTGAGTGTACTGTGCTTGGTCAGTCATGAAGTCTCTTACAATTCTTGTAGCCGCCATCTGGGTGTCTGGCACCGCTGCCACGGTTGTCGGTACCGCCGCGCCAAGAGATATCAGAGCCCGCGGCAATATCACGGGCTTTGAAGACTTTGCCCGCAGCCTCGGTGTGGGCGATGACGACCTGCAGGCCATCGCGACAAAGTACGGGTCAGCAAAGCAAATTCCCAAGTCCGCGGGTGTGGCATGTCTCCTAGCACAGTACGCACTTGGCGAGTCCCAGGTGGATACCTCGTCGTTGAACCAAACTGTCGTCGACGAGAATTGGTAAGGGATTTTTGATGTTTTCCAATTCTATCCTTGTCTGTCTCTACCTCTGTTGTTTTCTTACTGAGACCGGTGCATACAGGTCACAGACTTGCCAGATTGAGCCATACTGTATCATTCAGCCAAGAAATGCAGGCGATGTGTCAACATCCCTTCGCATCATTGACTTCTTCGCAGCGAAGTTTGCTGTGCGCAGCGGCGGTCACTCTCCAAACCCGGGCTGGGCCAGTATCGGCCGTGAGGGCATCCTTGTGGACCTGCAGAGGCTAAACCAGGTCCAATTATCTGACGACCGCAGCTTTGCCAGCGTCGGCCCTGGTGGGAGGTGGGGTGACGTATACTCAACTCTAGACGCCCAGAAAGCCGTTGTGATAGGAGGGCGGCTACCATCTGTTGGTGTTGGAGGTTTGATCCTAGGCGGTGAGTGCCTGCGTCTACTGCCCAATCTTTGACAAGGCCTTCCAGAAACTGGGCTGATTTCGACTACAGGAGGTTTCTTTCACATATCAGAGCAGTTTGGCCTTGCTGCAGACAACGTCAAGAACTTTGAGGTATATCCCGTCGCATGTTTCTATCTTGCCAATGATCATAGCTAAGGCTTAATGACCGCAGATCGTTCTTGGAAACGGCACAATCTCTGAAGTCAATGCCAACAAGAATCAAGACCTGTTCTGGGCTCTTAAGGGCGGAGGTCCCAACTTCGGCATCGTTACCAGATACGATCTTTACACGGTCCCGGTGTACGAAGTATGGGGTGAGATTCTTATCTACTCTGTCGATCAAGCAGAGGACATCATCCGGGCGTTTGATGAGTGGCAGAAGAACGGGGCAACGGACTTCAAGTCGGCCATAGCCCTGACCATATCCCTCGACTCCATCACCCTCGGCCTCGTGTATTCCGAACCATCTGCACAGCGCCCAGCGGTGTTTTCACCGTTCGAGGACTTGACGCCCCTTTTAGTCGCGCTCCCTCCTGTGAACACTACATTCGCGTTTGTGGCTCAACTGCTTGGCTCTGCTTTCCCGACTCTTCCTGGACGGTATGTATCTGACCTGTACAGGAGTATAAACTGCGAGTTGTCACTAAAACTCTATGCAGACACGACTACCGAGGACACAGTTCTCGCATCGACACGGAGGTCACGATTGACGTGTACAGATTCTGGCGTGAAAAAGCACTGGACGTTCGAAACGCCACAGGGGCCAACCAGACATTCGCCATTCAGCATGTGGGGGACCACCTCATCCAGCAAGGCGTTCAGAAGGGGGGGAACCCCCTGAACATTCCAGCCGGGAAGCAGCAATGTGAGTTCGGTGCAGACGCTAGGATGCTTCCTGTCCAGCCGGTCCCTGCAGCGGCTAACAACTAAACGTAGGGTGGACGACAATCATCGACTGGGAGCACGAAGAAGACGATGCGCGTGTGCGGGCGGTATCCATTGAGACGACGGCAAAATGGGAAGAGCTAGGCGAATCACGCGGCTCCAACCTGGCGTTCGTGTACATGAACGACGCGTCGAGGGACCAGAACCCTCTCAGGTCGTACGGCGCAGCTAATCTGGACAAGCTGAAGGGCATTGCTGCCAAATACGACCCCAAGCAGGTGTTCCAGAAACAGCAGAATGGCGGGTTCCTGGTTTCGCGTGCCTAATGAGTCAATATTAAATGCTGCAGGTTTGGGGTTGTTGTCCTAAGCAAACCAGGCCCACACCAAGCCGATAGATAGATTGGGAAGATTACAGTCTTGGCCTGGGGGAGGGGGAGGGGCGGCCATTGTCCCCATTGGCGGCGCTACGCCGTGCGATGCTCTTGCAGCTGCAATGGAAATATGTAGCCTTACAGCCTACCAAAAGAGGTAAAATGGAGAAAGTCGTCCTGTTAAAGTTACGGCGGCAGAGCTCTGGCCACCATCTTCACAACACACATGCAAAGTCATATCAGACGGCATCCCCCAGCAAGGAGGGTGCCCCCCACGTGTTGGGCTGTCTTACCCACGTGCCCATAGCCCGCAATTGCCGCCAGGAGTCCGGCCCGGCCTCCGTATCTGTTAACTGCATGCCCTGTTCCACACCACCCGATAAATGTCCGTTTCCTTCGCATTTTGCTGTTGGTGCGGGTGTCGGAGGTGAATGTTGGTGGAGCATCCGACGTGGGGCCCAACAGCGCTTGTCGAACGCGGCTGGGCAGTCCCCTGCTAGGCACCCATTGAAACGGTGATGGACCCCTGGAACCGTCACAATCATCCCTGGGGGCAGTGAGTCCAGGGTGGATCAAGCTGGCTTCATCATCCCCCCTCGGCTTTGTGCTCTTGCCAAAGAATTAGCTACGAAGTCATTTCCCCCTCCCAATTCTGCTGGTCTACCTTCCTCGGCCATTGCGTTCTCTTCATTCGCCTCCTCCTCCCGAAATCAACGTCTCCATCATGGGAACAAAGCAGGAAACGACGGCGGAACCCCAGGCGAGCGTCCCTCGCTTTTTCTACCAGCAGATCACCGTCAAACCTGCTGAGATCCAAAATGTCAACCTACAGGGCAAGACGGCCATCATCACCGGCGCCAACACCGGCGTAGGCTATGAAGCCGCCAGCCAGCTCCTTGGACTCGGCCTGAGCAAGCTCGTCCTGGCCGTGCGAAACCTGGACAAGGGTAAAGCTGCGGCCGCGAAGCTCTCTGCGAGTCACAAGGTCGCAGAAGGCGCTATTGAGGTGTGGGAGCTCGACCTTTCCGTGTATGAATCCATTGTCAAATTCGTCGAACGCACCAAGACGCTTGAGCGCATCGACTTCATCGTCCTCAATGCGGGCGTCGCCCACGCAAAGCGCGTCTTTAACGAAAAGACAGGCCACGACGAGATGGTGCAGGTCAACTTTATTTCAACAGCCCTCCTCGCCATTCTGCTCCTGCCCGTCGTCCAAGCCAAGCGCGAGAGCCAGCCGCACCCCACGCGCATCACCTTTACTTCGTCGGAGGTCGCTGGGTGGACTGCTTTTGCAGAGAGGAAAGACTTTCCTCTGCTGGCTGCCCTAGACAAGGAAGGCAAGGTGGACATGTTGGATCGCATGTTCGTGTCGAAGCTGCTCGGCCAGTTTTTTATCCACAGGCTAGCGGCCATCGTGCCTCCATCCATCGCCCTCATCAACTCAACATCACCTGGCTCGGTCCACGACTCTGAGTTCAACCGCGAGCACGACAAGACGTTCTCAGGTGCCGCCGCCAAGGTGTTCATGAAGCGTGTCGCTAACAGCGCTGCGGTGGGCTCACGCTTCGTCACCGATGCGATCGTCAACCATGGCGAGGAAACGCATGGACTATTCCTATCATTCACCAAGTTGTACAAGTCAGTTCCCGTTCTTGCTCCTTCCTTGACCCATGGATTCTCTTCTAACCTCTAGAAACATGAAGGTTGGCGCCGATTATCTATACCCCCGAAGGTGAGAAGATTGAGGAGCAGCTGTGGTCGGAGTTGATGGCGGAGTTCGCGCCCTTCAAAGCTGAGGAGATTATCAAATCAGTGACAGAGAAATAGAGACTGGACAAGTGCACAGTGCGGAATATCTTTCATATTTAGAGCAAGCTACCATTCGAGAAACGGGGAAGGAGAGTGGTTACAAATCCACCACGCCAATAATCGCTAGTATGAGAAACTCTCTGCCTCTATTATATATACTTCAACTTAGTTATACTCTTGCTGTCATTGTTGTGGCCAGACATTGGTCCATGTTTTCCAATAATTGATCTCATCTGTCAAACACTTTCACATTTCACAATACCTCTTTGACCGTATAATGTTTGAATTATCGTTTTATTATGAACAATGAACATGTCTTCTAGTCAGTCTTCGTGCGGTCCGCAAATCGCCTCTGAAAGATCGTTTGCTGCATTCTCTGGCACGCAAGATCCCAGTCTGTCGTCCACTTGCGGTAAAACGGCTGATACCCAAGTAAGCCGCTGCCAATCCACCGACCCACCACCACCCCTAGTCCAAGTGACACATACTGTCCAAACGGCACCCAGCTGGGAAACGATACGTACGTTCCTCCTGCGTCAAATGTCTGGTGTGTAGGATTTGCGTAAGCAGAAGGGTTCACCGGCGCGATTGACAGGTAGGCGTTCGGCAACTTACGCAGAACAGCTGGATTAGGTCGATTTTGGCTCCTTTTACCACAACCTCATCCTGATATTTGTACCAGTTCTCGAAGAACACTGGGTTTAGTTCAAAGACATTATCTGTCTTCTCTCCCGACAGTAGGAACGCCACTTTGGTGTTGCCGTCGTCCTGTTCTGAGATTGGGAGGGGGTACGAGCGGTGGTTTACATAAGGCTTGATGGAGAACCTCCCGTCCGCTGGCGTCAGAACAATCTCTTTGCCTTCGATTTCGACGGCAAGCTTTCCCCGGACAGCCTCAATGTACTCTTCCTGGAGATGGAAGTGCAGAGGAGGCTTCTTGTCGAAGAAGCTAGCACCTTTCACAAGGTCGAGCTCGACCTGAAGGGCAAAAGATCGATCAGGATGGTGAATAAGGCGACCAACGACTGCATCCTTTAGACTGTAGAGGCCAAGGTTAAGGCGGGGTTAGCCAGGCCGCCAACATGAGACTAACATAGACAGTAAAGGAGGGGGAGCCATGTGCTTACACTCTGACGATTGTGTCCGAGTCGGAGTAATTCACTGTGTCCTGGTCTGATTGGGGCATCGTGGGCATTGTTACTTGCGTTTCAGTGATGCTGCGTTTGGTCTCCAACCTTTCTGAGGCGTAGACTGGTGATTCAGAGTACATAAAGTCGAAAAATGCGATAACTGCCGTGCACACATGCCGTTCTCGCCGGAACATTTGCGAAGGAAGCAGCTCCTTCGAGGGGCCGTGGCGAAGCTGTGCCTGCGGGCTGACGCGCCAGGGGTAACGGCATCTAGAACTTCAGCAAGTGGATCACCCTTGAGATATTGTGATATCGTTATGGCAAAGGCATAACATCGTACTGTTCTGCCTCCCACAAGACACCTTGACATTGGTCATGATCGCCAAAGGGCGTGCCTGAAATCCCTTGGTCCACAATTGACGCCGTGAAAGCGATTGAATGGGGAAGGCCCCTCGGACTCTCCAATGACCAACTGATGACTAGCTGAGGCCACTAATGCACGCTTTCTGGCGTAAGACAGGCCAAGGAACGGCGCGCTCCTCTTCGGGCTCGCCGCTCGGCAGCGCTTCTGCTGTGTGTGGGAACTATCCAGGGATACAGACCGGGAGGTGGGGGGCTAGTTTCGGTATTGCATATCTAAAGTATGCATTTAAACCCATGACTGCCAACACATTCCTTGCCAATGTCGAAATATCCATATCTAGATGTAGCTGGATCCAAGCAACCCCGGCCATCCGATGCCGAACCAAGCATGGATCTAGCAGAGTTCCCTTCTTAGAAGCGATACTCATGTCCATACAACCACGAAAAGGGATTTATTAAAACCAATAGACAGTAGCCAATAAAAAGCCGACGGCTGTGCCCCATTATTGCCGCGCTGTAGCCTAAAACCGAGCCGTGCACCTGGGAAACCCCGATAGCAAAGATATCCGATATGCATTATTGGCGAACATCACGACATGGCCCTGGTGGTGGAGGGCAACACACACTGCACGAGTGTTAGTATGCAGACCTGCATCAGCGGAGAGAGAAAGGTTTTTTGAAGGCACTGTAGCCTGCTACGGAGACTATCTTGTAGAGAAGATGAAACTGTTTGCCCAGCTCCGTTTGACCGCCGCCCCGTGCTCTCACCCGACGTTTAATTGAATGATTCCTAAACAGTTGAATGTTGCAATCAAATAAGGGGACAACGTTCCATTTCTAAAGTCTAGAGACCCAGCAAACCGCTTGATAGAACCCCATACTCCGCCAATAGACCACTCGCGATCGCAGCCCCAGTGAGCCAAAACCCTTGGGAAAACCAACGCCAACAGCTAGCGGGATCTTCGAGATCAACTTTGGCAACCATGGAGCCCACCGAGATGACACATCCAACCACAGTGAGGGAATAATAGGGGAGACCCATGCCTCCATAGTAGCCAGTCGACACGAGACAGGCAGTCATACCCAGGAAGAGAAGCCAGAGCGCTGGTTTCGCGAAACCTTGAATAAAAACTGCCGTGCTCTTCACACCAACCTTGAGATCGTCTGCAAGGTCTTGATGGGCGTAGATTGTGTCAAAGACGACGACCCAGAGTATAGAGGCCACCAGCAGGCTGACGGTCGACGCATCGGTCCAAGGACTCGGCACTCCCATGCCTGAGCTGCCGATCATGATGCCCCATGTAAGGCAGAAACCAAGGACGAGCTGGGGCAGGTGCGTGTGTCTCTTGGCCCAGGGGTAATAGATGGTTCCGATGATGGTTGGAATTGTCGCAATGCTTGCGTCGCGGGGCAGGAAGAGCAAAAAGGCGGCTGCTCCTATCGCCTGCGTGCAAGCGAAAATGACCGCAGCGCGGGGTGTGATGGCGCCTCGCGGAATAGGCCGTGTTCGCGTCCGCTCGATCTGAGCATCAATGGGGGCGTCGATGAGGTCGTTCCAGGCGTGACTGGCATTGTTGCAGAAGAAGGACCCTCCCAAGAGTACGAGACTCACACGGAGGACATCTTGAAGAGGGAAGTCATGGACACTCGCGGCATGGAGGACGCCAAAGATATGCGGGAAGTAAATGAGGAAGAGTCCGGCCGGCGGGCTCAGTCGCGATAGCTGGATGTAAGGGATCCACGACACCGGGAGGAGGTCGACCCATCCTCCGGCGTGGACGCCTCCGTACTGCTGCGAGAGACCATCTGGATTGGAACCGTCTTCGGTTTGTCCTTTGGCCTGCTTCTCGGACTGTAAGATTTGGGCCATGATGTATTGCAGCAGGGGGTATGTGAATGAGTATTAGATGATACGATGATCAGAGCAAGACGCAAAGTTATATGATGATGATCTTATTAGGACACGTACGAGTTCGGGTCCTAGAATGCTTTATTAACGTAGTTCTAAGCAGCTGAGACGCGGGCAAGCCCTTCCTGTCATCCCAAGCTGATCGGTGTTGTCGAAATACCTACACCATGTACATGGTGGTCCACCCACCTCGGAATAGGCACCCACTCTCGTCTGCAGCCACCCCGGGCATCCTGCCCCTTCCAATGCAATCATACCCAAGACGAATAATTCACATCGTCATCTCACCCTCGGGGGCGTGTCGGGGGATCCTTCTTGTGCACGCCAAGTTATAGCTTCGCGTCTTGATGCAACCGAGAGTTACATAGGCTATAGATATCTCGGCCCTATTTTGCGCTTTTGGAAGACGCAGCGTGGCAATAAGCTGTGAGGGTGACATTACCCACCCGACACATCATCCACTGCCCTTGAGGGTCTGCTTTTCAAAGTACAGCTGTACGACCCAGCTCCCATCACTTTAGACAGTTTCAAGACTCTTTACGCAATCAAAGGAAATGGCGCACGATATCTCCCCCTTACCTCTTCGAGTCCCTCCGACGGCGATTGTCGGGGTTCTGGTCCTCACTCTCTGTTTCTGGGTCGTGCGACTGGCTTATCGCCGACCGCTGCCTGGAATCCCATACAATCGTGATGCCGCAAAGCGCCTCATGGGAGACCTGGCTGAGCTAGGGGAATGGGAGAAAAATGGCAAGGGAATCCGGCCATGGTTTCTGGCACAAGCGCACAGGCACAATTCTGCCCTCACCCAAATCTTCTTGGGTCCTTTTGCGCAGCCGGCTGTCCTCGTCTCCGACTACCGAGAAGTGAACGACATCCTGAGCCACCGGGATGCGGTCGACTTCAAAAGAGGGAAGAAGGTGGACGTCTTCAGCGGGCTCCTACCGCATGCGTTTCCGGCGATGGAGACGTTCGATCCTCGGTTCAAGAGCAGCAGAGATCTAGTGAGGGATCTCATGGCTCCATCATTTTTGAACACGGTATGTGCCATTGCCGGCTCCTGAAAATATTGTGTACGAGTAGCATTAACACTCGAGTGATAGGTCAATGTACCCCACGTCTACGCCGTGGCCTGCAACCTGCTTGAGCTGTGGAGTACAAAAGCTCGTATGGCCAAGGGCCATCCGTTCAATGTATTCAATGACATTGTGGAATTCTCTTTTGATGCCATACTGAGTGCGGCAACGGGTCTTGGCCCCGAAGGCGGAGACGTCAAACGCCAGCTATCTCACTTGGCCGCTGTAGAAGACGACGGATCATACGTCGTTGACCGTGAGTTGGAGGTTGACGATCTTGTCCACCTCCCCGCTGCCGAACAGTCACTCAAGCTCTGGGCTCTTGGTGTCAATGAGGAATCGCTCTGGAAAGGATTCTACATGCCTTGGCCTCGGCTGTACCATAGAGCTAACAAACTTTTGCCGTCAGTGCGCAAGGCAGAAGGAACTCTTAAAGAGTACATGGAATCGCAGATCACCGCGGCTATTCCAAGGCTGTCTGAAGGGGGCCATCCGGAGTCGGCCCTTGACTACACGATCCAACGGGAGATGAAAGCTGCCGAGAAAGTTGGCAGGGAACCCTTCTTCCGAGACCCCCGCATTCTCGACCAGTTGTCTGGTTATCTCATCGCTGGTCACGATACTTCGACGGGTTCCCTGCTCTGGCTGATGCGGAGGCTTCTCTCCCACCCCGAAGAGCAGAAAAAGATTCGAGCCAATCTGCGCGAGACTTACAGCGCCGCGTGGGATGAGAAGAGGCTACCCACCCCGGCCGAAATCATCCACCGTTCCCCTTACCTGGATGCTTTTATTGAGGAGGTGTTGCGGTTCAACACCCCGGTCGTGACCATCATGGTAACGACCTCGATGAATACTATTGTACTCGGTCATCCAGTTCCCGCAGACACGCAAGTCTTTCTCAACCTTACAGGTGCATCGATTAACATGCCTTCGGTTCCCGTAGAGGAGCACATGCGGAGCGAGACGTCCAGGACATACAAGCCCGCGAGACAAGATTGGGACGACCTCGACCCGGGGGCGTTCCGGCCGGAACGCTGGCTCAAGAGAGGCGAAGACGGTAAACTAGTCTTTAACGCGGCCAGCGGGCCGACCTTGGCTTTTAGTGCCGGGAACAGAGGTTGCTGGGGCAAGAGGCTCGGATATTTGGAGTTGAGGGTTCTGCTGACATTGCTGTTATGGAAGTTTGATTTTGAACTTCCAGAGAAGCTAGTGTCTTGGAATACGTACGACTCTCTGGTCACGGCGCCGAAGGAATGTATTATGCGTGTTTCTGAAGTATATCAGTGAGAAGAGCTTTACTCTATGGGGGTTTGAGCCTTGATTGGGATAGGTCTTCAGATAATCAGTAACCAGTCGTAGACTCAACAGAAGATATAAAACCAAGATTCACATGTACTACTAAAGCTTAAGAGTTAAGATACACCGACGATGTCAATCATAGTGTTGACCGCTGAAGGGCTGTCTATAAAGAGCTATTGAGCCACAAGCCCAGTCCTTATCTATATACATGATGTATCAATAGTCGTTGGATTGATCCTTGAGGTGGAATTGCTCATATTTATTATGATCCATCACTTGATCCCATTACATTGTTTTTACGTCCAAAAAATCTTGTAACAAGGACCGTAGGTGGTCTGTCTCCATCTGGCTGCTTTAGCCAACTATATTCCTTGCTTGGTGCCATGTGTTATTGCACTAAGTGTGCCACGCCATGATGGATCATAGATGGATTTACAAGGTCGTTTCGGCAAAGCGAATTCCATTTTTTAACGTTACAAGCAACTCCTAATTAGTCCTTACTCAACTACGTACGGATGTAAAACTAGGTGCTTCTAGGATTGCCATTTGTTTGAGCGAATTGATAAAAGCCTGCAGCATTAAGAGCACTGTGTTTTCTAGAATGAAAAGTATCTAGTCAAAAAGGAGACCTACTCGCAACAGCCCGTAAAGTAGCATTTCGGTGAACAGCTGTAATTGCAGTGGTATCAAGTTGAAGCGTGGCAAAAGCGTGAAGAATGCTGACTTCTATTGGAGATTTGACCCCAACCCCAAGCACTAAAGGTGTTCGATACTCATGTTGACGGGATGACTTACAAATCGGCCTTGCGCTTTTACATACAGAGATGGCCATTGGTGAAAGCCTCCGCTTCATACAACCGATGCATCATTACCCAGTTCTTAGCTCGCGTTTATCTCAACAATAAACTCATATCCTTATGCGATTCTCCAGGGCTGGAACTCGGCCTTAAGCTCCCAAGACATGTGTACGTCTAGCAGCCTGAAAGAATAGCAAGAAGTCATAAGACATCACTAAATGAAGTAGCTTGTATTCATTTGAAAAGCAGGTAAAAAAATTAAGGCATATGACATTAAGTGCCTTGAACCCAATTCTGTTGAGAGGTACAAAACAAGACTTGGCTCAAGAGCTTAAAAAGAAAAGCTCTTGGTACAAGTACTTTAATTTCTTATCAATTATCGCCTTGCACAAAGGCTTTTCAAGGTTATTGTTACGATCACGAGTATGAAGCAAAGGTCATCGGGGTCGTAATGGCGGTGACAGGACACCATTGTTTCACCGTGGTCGTCTAGGGTCGGAATGAAACACTAACTGACAAAATGTACAGGCCTTGCAAGAAATGAATCTAAAAAGATGTCATCAGAATCCGCATCATCCTGGTACTTGGCGATGGAGGCGGATTCGTAATAGTAGCATATGCAACATGCAGTCACCCGTTGCCGTGTCCGACCTGGTTCGGAGCGGCCCTGCCGCACGCTAAGCCGCGGCTGCAACGGTTCCCATCCGTCTTGCATATTAAGGCGTTGGGCCTCTCAGTCCACGCCTAAATCCCCTTCGTGTTATGTCCCACAACCTGCTCTGATTTCTGTTGTTGCTTTTTCGTCCTTGTCGTCCCACACGCTTAGCTTTCGGATCGCCGGAGCTCGATCCGTTCGATCTGATTTCCGACAATGCAACCCTACATACCTACCGTCCTGTCCTGCTGTCCTTCAGCTTCACATTGATATTGCTTTTCCTACCTCAATCGAGATGAACACAGATTCATACCACAACCGCCGCCCCCGATCTTTCTCGTTCTTACCACGCTCTGTCCCTTTTTCGATTTTGGATCTGTGCTTGCCTCGTTCTAGACACGCTATAGGATGACTTTCTTAAATTCGACCTTCCTGCCCAAGTTAGATGTGATGGTTTTCACCATCCTTACATCCGCTTCATTCCATCTTATTACTTCAGAGCATAGACATTGCTGTCGTACGATTTACGCCTGGAAAAAGAGGAAGCCCACCGTCTGTAGTTCCTTGCGTCTGTTCTAAGGCCCGGCAAAGATGTCCACACTATCCGTCGTGGATTCGACGTTCGTCAACAATGGTAGCACCGCAAGGTAAGATCTTTCATCTCTACGAGCCAGCTTTCTTTCTATTATTACCTTGTCGTTTTGTGACAATAGTATCATTAGTTTGTACCACATTTGCCTTTGATAGAGTCCTTTAGTCTAGGCCAGGCTGTGATAAGTTCTATCGATGCAGTTGATCTCCTTTTGACTTGTGACTAACTCTTGGAGCAGCCAGACCGGCACATCACACAAAGATCTTAACTCTCGAGCGCATCCGAAAACCACCTCGAGTAGCGTCCACACCAATGCCACAGTTCAAGTCCCTAAGTCAGTGCTTGCCTTTGACGGTCCAGACGCTCGCCTGGTACGAGTTCACGGAGAAGTTGCAAACATCCTGCAGCGTCTTCTAAACTCCTCGAACTGTGAAGAGACGGAAGATTTGAAGGTTCCGTCAAAAACAGACATTATGCACAACCTGAAAGGAGTTGGAAAGCGGTTCGAGTAGGTTGCTTTTGCTTAGACTTTGTAGCGCTACTGGTATCAAATGTAATCCTATAGCATTCTCGATTTCAAGCTTAACGTCATTGTATCTGCAATAGTTAGTAGTGGTTATGTGGATGAAGTTTGACCCTGCCACTTCACGAAATAGTAAGAGGTGGTAGGAAAGCGCCAAAAGAGCGTCTGCAGGTGGGCGTCGGAAGAAGTTTCCAGGGCGCTATCCCACTGTAGGTAACTGACTATGTAAAAATGGTGTACTCTATGCGCTGTAAGCCAGTCAGCCAACAGTCCTGGTGCCTTTTTCTTCATCGCAATGCATGTCCATCACCCAAAATTTGAACAGCTTGAAAAGATAGACTCTAGATACTGATTTTGCTGGGGGCTCTTGGGTCTTCGCGTAAGCACACTTCTTACATGGGCCACGACAAAGGACATGACAGATGGCGGGAGAACAGAGACGCACTCTGGAACCTGTCGCGGTCATGTCTCGCTGTGCTTCTGCATACGCCACAACAGAAGAAACTTTCCTTCTCAATCCTTGCTCAGGTTTTTGTTCCAGAGAAACATCCACAGCATGTGTTTTGCCCTACTTAGGAACCTCAGACCAGACTCCAAGAGACCTGCCATCGTCACCCATCCAGGTTCCACGCATATGGCATGTGAACCATGAAATTCCCCATGCGAGTAGTGGAACCATCGTGTATCCTCCTAAGTTGAGGCCAGCACGACGACGGAAGCCCTGTTTACCGAGTGGGGCCGCCTTCACCGGTCAGCGACGGGTGTGATCCCATTCTGACCTAGCCCACGCAGGATCTGATCTCTGATGCGCGAGTATTAGTTCTCCCAGCTTCCCCGGCCAATTGCGACACCCTTCTTTGTGGCTACAAAGCTAGCGAGCGCCAGACGTGCTGGGCAAATTTGAGGCGCCAAAAGTTGTGCATCCTCCGATATAGTCTTCCCGTTGGCCGTTCCGGGGGTGGCCCCAGTGGCCAAATGCCCGTGCGTATCTATCTATTTTAGGTTCCGCCGTCAACGCGTACCGTCCGAAGCCTGCCGCCCTTTCGGTGGGAAGCTTCGTCTCATCCGCGACCAACGTCATTCAGCCCATGGTGATAATCATTATTGTTGTTGGCTGACCGGTGCTCAAGTGCCAGAGAAATACAGATACCCATAAAACACTCCACCTACAGTGTCCAACTAGCTGCAAGCCTGACCTGAGTCGCGCTGTTTTGGCCAAAAGACATCATCTAGTTTGCCCAAACCGCAATTCGGTATTTATATGCCACGGAGTAAGGAGTGATGCGGTGCATGTCTATATCCTCTCGTTGCTTGGCAAAAGGATAGCTATGCTGGGAAGTTAGTGGCCAGCCCTCTTTGTAAATGGGACCAGACACCGACAGCGTGGCATTCAACAGACACACGCGGGCGGGCGCTTGAGCTGGTGGCAAAAAAGATGACTAAATGTAGAAACCAAAACCCACAGTGAGCCTCTGCAAGTTTAGGCTGTCAGGCGTTGCGTACGCAATGAGGCTATTGGGTTGGACGCCTTCTTGCGCACCATGGTTCGCATTACTGAAGGTGCTGGTGTCTGGCAAGTTTGGATCTCATAGCAGACGTCCTAGAAGACCCGAAGCCTTTGATTTTCCCGCTCGCAACATGTAGCTTCGCAAAATATGATCCGCCTTTGGGTCTGCAAAAGCCCACCCCTCAAGGTGGCTGTGAGCTTGTTGTTCGTTTTCCTAGGGCGGTGTCACCCGCCGTAGGAAACCCCCGATCCCCGGGATTCATTGCTTCAAGGCGCCAAGGCGCAGCAACCGGTTGGGGAAAACATTAAGCTCATCCAATGGAAGCCAGCACAACACACCCTCTTTCTGTGGAAGGGGAAATTAAAGGCTCCGGAAGAAGGATGTTAAGACGGCAGCGCACTCCAGCCAGTACGTTTCAGGAAGCGTTGAGAAAGAATTCGTCCGGTCTGCATGCTGGCCTATGCCACGTCATTTGAGCACCCTTGAAGTACTCAGATGGTCTGGCCCATACTCACAACAGGCCATGCAATCTCCTGAAGTCAGCAGCCGTTCGCACTCAGCAATTACAGAGCCTTGGCGGGCTAGACTCTTGGCCGGGATGCCAAGTGCTCAAGGAAACCAGTCAGTCGTCGGAGGAAACTCGCCAAAGGGGCTTACAGTGTGACTGGGTGATGTGAGAACAACGAATTAAGCGTAGTGCTGCAGGGCCACAAGACCCCAGTGAAGCATGGTCTAGTGTAAATGTATGGCATAATTCTCCACTCCTTCTCCTCTCTCTTCATCCCCTTTCTCCTTTGTTCCTCCTCCGAGAGCTTCTCCGCATCGTCCCTCTCCTGTGCATGAGGTAGCGATTTAATAGACTATTTGCATGGTATTCGCCACACACACGCCCGCGCAAATGAGTGCGCGCGCGCGCGCGCGCAATGAGCAACCGAAATGGAAAAAGGCTTCTGAACAGTCATTCAAAAGTGGAGCTACACACCTAGGTGACCAACTATTCGATACGTGTATTCGTTCTGTTGCATCACAGAGATTAAGCTTCATAGACTGAAGGCGTCAGCTAAAATTTTCCATGTTGAGGTGTCTTTCACCCCGTGCTACCATAGGATCGCCACGGTAGTTTGGCTGGTTCCAATAACTGCTATTATCTCCTGGTATTTGCCACCGATTGTCCACTTCAATGTGATTTTTTAATGAGGTTTGAATGAGTGAGATGCCGAGCGATAAAATCATGTGTAACACAAGGTTGGTCGCGGTTGCGACTCAGAACTCTGCACGGATAGAAACATACGATGCTGAGTGCAGCCGGGAAAGGAAGACGCCTGTTTGGTCAGGGGTTGGACAAAACTCAACGCTGTCTGACTCTGAATCTCCTAGAACGAGGGGGTCCCGGTGTCCGGCAATGTGGAAGCGCTTCCCGTATGTGCTATTGGCCGTTCCTCGCGTTTACCCAGCCGATGCACAGAGTCTTGCTAGGTGCAGGGTGTAAGGTGCAGAAGCGAACGAGAGTGGATGCAGCCATGACGACTTTCTCTGTCTGTACCCAATGAGGCAAGTAGAGTTGGCTGTGAGGTCTGTCATGTGGTCTGCAGAGCCGCAATGTCGTATTTCCGAGAACCTTGGTCCTAGCACCTAGACAATTGTGTTGGCCCCAGCCAGGGAGCTGTAGTGATGTGTTGGCAAAGCGGGCCCGGGGGCTTCTCGTTTGCCACCTCTTTTCCTTGGGGTTTCGTTTGAAGTCCTCAATCCGTAACACCTGATCACTATGGTTATAACAATGGATCCACGGGGATTCTGCCGAGTGCTCTCGATCTAATTCACTGTTGTCAAATCAGATTTGGTATTCCAGCAGCATCTTGACCTATGAGTTGGTCCATCTTACGGTAATACGTGCGGGAATGCGGGCCTATGCTTATGATGGCCAACCATCGCGCTCCCTAGTCTAGAAGCAAAGGGTGGCACTGCAGAGGCTCAGCGAGGTCCATCTGCTGTGAAGACCTGGTCGGCTCCGAAGAGTAATACAAGAGGAGAAACAAGACTTTGACGCCCTATTTGCAGGGCGTGCTTGGAGCGTCAGTAGGGCGTTGAGTAGTTCAAGTTACTCGGATAATGTTTGTCTGGCGAGGGGCAGGTGAAGCGCACATCAATCTGCCACCTCAGCTGACCTTCTATGGACCCGTAATATTATCGTTCTTTTTCGGTGACAGCTTTCTCAGGAGAGCTCTGAAATTCCCTCTGTGCCAAAGGGTTTGAGGAACAGTACTTCTAAACAAGATCATTTAAGCACTTTCATTTCAGAGTGTTCGGTAAACCCATCGTCCGGCCGGGACTTTTGGTAGATCTCGCTGACACGTCAACTTTCTATGTTGTGCCGATTTTGCGGAAGAGTGAACAGACCTTAATGCTCTAAATCCTTGGCAGACTTTGCCAGCCTCGTCGCCTCCGACTCCCTTACATTAGCGACCATCTGCTTTGCCAATCTCCACACCGGGAGTCTTTCTGGCCTATCGGTGCTAAGTCTGAGCTGATATGGGGCCTATTCGAATTTCATGCTGGATGTTCTCCACATGACGATGAGTTGTGAGTTCCCACTAACCCAGCATACTGCAAGACACATGCAAGCTTGTTGCCTTTGCCTTTTCTTCCACCTTACCGCAGTAGCTGGGGGAAGACCTGCTTTGCCACCTGACCGAAAAGCATCACGAGATGCTAATATCTATGTGAAGCAAAACTTATGTTCGGTATCTTATACGACTTGTGTTCCCTCTGACTCGATCTTCATGAGCGAACATTAGGTTTCAAAACAGCGAACCACACCCATTCGTGTTGACCTGAGCCGAGCGCGATAGTGACGGCCTTGAACGGAACTGCTGTATGCGCCAGAGGCAGTGACATACAGTCTTGAGTCATAACTCTGTACACAGCAATAAGGATAACCCACTGAACAATTACAGAAGGGACCCGTTAGACCTTGCATTCAGCCTGCGGTGCAATTAGTGACCCACGGGCAGAATCTCTCCTTACGTACCGGGCAAGGAACAAGGTTGTACTCAAATGGTGGGCAGTACGCGAGGGTTCCGTATTTAGGATCTGCGCGTCAAAGTCGAATTTGCAATGGGAAACCAAACAATGAACAATAATCGCGGCCCAGTTTCGGAAGCCCCTCTTGGCGCACCAGTCGACTCCTCGAATCCGTTCTAATGGGTCCGCAGTACGCTGTAATAGCAGCGCTTTCTTATCGAGAACCAGATGAGGGTCTCTGCACCACCGTGGCCCTTTATCTAGGTTGTGATTAGTCACTAGAAAAGGGAATAGCATTTATAGAATGAAGCAATTTAAGCTGCCTGATTTCAAAGGCCACTATTGACTGGTCCTAATTGTGGCGCTGGGGAATGGCAAGACGGCAGGGTTGTGAGTCGGGCTGCCCAAGTCGCCAAAGTCTTCAAAATATGCAGGTCTCCAAAGTCGCCAAAATCTGCAGTGTAGGGTTGCTTACGTCTCGACCGTTGTGGAAATTGGTAAAGTCGTTAGTCCCCAATGTCATGTCGTCCGATACTGGTCAGATCTCATTAACCTCGCCTGGCACCCGGAACCAAAGAACGGACAAAAGCACCTTTAGACAATGAGTTGTCCATTCAGGCGCTCAGGTTGAGCGCCGTCATTCCCTATTCTTGTGATATTCGACATAATGTGACATCTGAACAAAAGCAATCACATCAACTCGATCACCCTACCATTACTGTATTGTTCCTGTCGGCGCAGGTGTGCGTGTTACAGGAATGTGACATGTGATACTAAGCCATCAATCTACCGGTACAGGCTGCTTATTTTGCACCGTTTCGTACCTTTTGGTTTTTCTTTTCCTACAATTCTTGCAGGGAGTGGGGGAGGGGGCCGGTACATCTCGGCAGGACTGGGAGGACCGAGGAGGTGCAGAAATTGGGGCGCTGGTCGCCGCTGCGTTTCATGCCGAAAGCCAACTGTCATATTCTCCATGGAAAGCGAGATGAGAGACAACCAACAGGTGTGGTGGCCGCCACCCCATCCGCCCGATTTTCTTCTGGCTAACTCCGTGCCAATGCCACCAACCTTTTTGCGAGTTGTTTCCTGACGTTGCTCCGAGCGTGTCCATCCCGCGCACGATTGCAGAAGAGTGAGATGTGATGCGTTTCCTCCGCGGTTGAGTTATGACATGGTGCAAGGCACAATAAGCCGATGCCGTCGTGATTGCAAGAGTGCCGAACGTCGTCGTGCTTCAGCTCTCGAACCCTAGCTTAGAGGCCTAACGTACGGACAGACGTGCGCTGGTGACGTGCGCGATTTGTGCAAGGTATTCAATGCGGCTTGGAGCTGTCAATTCAAGAGCATCTTGCCTCAGAAGCTTAAGGTTCATCCAGGACTTTTCGCATGGATGACACAATTCCCCTGGAAACGAGAGCGTAAAGTGGCTTTGGTGCGCCCAGATCTACACGTGTAACCATGTTGGGACGTTCTTGTGGCCCAACAGGCCCAGGGTTCAGGGACCAAGACAAGGATTGCCGACGACGTGAACGCAGTAGCAAAAGGCAAAAGCCAGAAAGGTTGGGCGTACGGATTCCGACCTGTGGTCACAAGGAGGCAGTGTGACGAAAGGACACCTTATTAGCTGGAGACGAGGTCCTGCACAGGGGTCTGGTTCCCATCTTGAGAAAACCTGGAAGGTCGTTTGGACAGGGGGAGGGCAGATCCAGGCATGTCCTGCCCCTCTCCGTGCTACCGAGTACTTCCGTACGCACGTAAGAAGAGCAGCGGGGGGCTCGGAAATGATAGCTGACGAAGACTGCCCTCGCACCCAAATACCTAAGCCGGGGGTGATAGGCCAACCGGATGCTCGAAGGTTTTCCGACGTCGGCTGTCACGATGGATGGACGCAAGCGCGAGGAGCAGCCCAACGAAGCAACGGCGACTGCACACCGAGCCGTCGTCATCCTGACACAGATTGGCCTCCGCGGTGCACGCGGCATGTTGGTCATCTTGGAAGTCTGTCTTTCCGGGCTTCTCTGGTTGGATCTAGATGCTATTGACGAGATTCTTTCGGCATGCAGACCGCAGCTAACAGCATTGACGATAGGATGAAAAGCGTGCGTTCGGAAATGGCGAAGACGCCCGAGGGACGGCTGTTTCATTCATCCCATTGGAAGCTCTGGAACACGGCGACGCTCTTTCTTTCGAGAGTACTGCACTAGTAAACCGTACACCGTAGTTGGGGGACGATCAGCTAGTCACACGCACTCCACAGAGGAACCGGCCAAGACCCCTGCACGTCCAAGACTTGTGTTATTCGGGATCTGCTGCACAGTCAATATTCTCCTCGGGCGGCGCTACTCTCAGGTTGGAGCTGCGCACACAGCAGGTTGCGCGAGGTGGTAGTCGCCCATGGCACCCTGCGCGGTACGCTTTTCCCCGTGCGTGGCAGGGACGAGCGGCGAACAACGCGGGCTTGATCGGAGTACGTACCTCCTCACTGACAGCCACCGAAGATGGTCGATCGCCGCTGGCCGGCTGCTGACCGCTGCACTAGCTAGCTGTCATTCCACCGCCTCCCACCCCCCATCCATGAAGCGACGCAACAGCGTCCGACGACATTGCTCAATCGTTGCTTTCTTTTCCTTGCGAGAAACAGACTCCTTTACGTCTCCAGTCCATCACATATCATGCCTCAAAGTTCGGTGAACAATGCTCACTCTCGTTGCCCAGAAGAAAGCGATAGTCTGTGTCCCTTATAGTCCCAAGCCAATCAACCCTTCAAAGCGTCTCCTACTCTAGGAGCTTTCTCTATATAAAATGCATCACAGTCTGTATGCGTAGCTCTCGGTTCAATTTCTCAATCAGCCTTTCTCACAATTACTTGCCACAGTACATGCTTGAATACAACCCTTTCTGCAATAGTCGGATAATCGTCCATTGACCTCCAGAGTGTTGGCTCTCTTCCAACACGCGTCGGGAATGAAATCAATTATCTCTGGTCATGGACCAGTCAGAGAGTAGGTTGCCGAACTATCTGCCAGATTGATTCCTGTCTCGTTCAGGCGCATACATAGGTTTCTTCCCGATCCTTATGATGTGCCGATCTTGTCGTGTCGCGTCGTGTCGTGTCGGGCTAATGTGGGGGTCAATAGCGATTTTCGATCACTGAGGCCCGCAAAGTCGAAAGAAGCTCGCACCCAAGAGCGTATGTTGCGATGCCAAGCCTTCATGACAGACCAAGCCATTTACAACGGTCACGTAGGCGTTGTATTATCACAGCGCCCGTCTGCGCATGCTGCCGCTGCCATAGCCAATGTCGATCGGCTCGGCCTCGGCTATAGTGGAACCGGTGCCAGCGGTGCGGTTGGGCGGCCTGTCACCGACGTTCCAGCAACACTTCGGGGAACCGGGGCCAAGTTTCCCAACTAAACTTTCAGGCTAGCAGGAAAGCAAAGCACCTGCAAAGAAGCGTAACACCTGTAGCGGCCGTTGTGGCCGAGCGGTCTCCTTTGAGACCAGGATGGGATGGCAGGGTACGTACCCACCTCGCACATCGGCTGCGTTGATTAGTGCTGGACCTGGGTTGGACCCTGCGCGTTAAAGACACGGGATGGGGTGGTTGAAGCAACGCCAAGATGCGGACACTTGCAATACGGCCTTTTCATCCCGACAAGCTGTGACTGGGGTAATCGCTAGGGATCAGATAGGTCGGACTGGGTGTTTTGGAGTCTTCACAACTGATACGGCTGGAGCCGAGGATATTGGTCTCCATTCCCTTCTGCCTTTTGAAGCGAATCCTCAAGCGCTCTCGCCAGGTCTTGTGAGGATTGTCGTGATTGCCCTAATGCTTCATGGGGGTATCAGTGTTCTGCTCGGAGAAGTTCTGCGTTCCAAAGATCTCTTCTCGGCGGCTTATTAGGCGCCTGTTCTTCTGATTCATTGTCAAAGATCAGGGTTGCCGGCGGTGCGCTTCCAAGCCTGATTAGTCTGCTTGTGCTCTGTCCATAAATTTTTGAAAGTTTATTGACTCGGGCAAAACCTGTAGTGCAGTCAAGCAATGAACATTCATTTGAGCAAACCTTTCCAAGTCGGCCAGTGTGTATGGTGTGCAGGTCTGTGTGGTGTGCGGGTTTGTGTTGCGTGCGAGTTTGTGTGCGTCTTTGGGCTGAATTGGCCAACAGTCAGTGAGTGGCTTTGATGCTGTGAGGGTCCGCGGGCCAATCGAGGCTGGTCAATTGAAGTGCAATGTCAGGTGCGACGTTCCGTCCACGCTAGCGCGCTTCTCGAAGGCTTCCCCAAACGGCTGCCTACGCTGGCCTACAGGCCTTTCGCCTCTCCCTGTTCCTCTTCCCCCTTCGCTGACTTCAACAGTCGCACGCCCCTTGTACCTTCCTCCGCCATCCCCTCACCCTTTGCGCCTGCACGCCAAAATGCCGTTCGCTACAGTTGTCACTGAGGGTTCCGACAAGTCGACTCCGTTGGCGCCGCACGAGTGCTGCACCTGCCACCAGGGCCCGTCTCCCTGCCAAGCATCTTCCGTCATGACGCAGGGTTTTTACATTCAAGTCCGCTATCGCGGACCAAGGCCTTCCACTCGAGATGCCCAGCGAAAAGAGCTGGAGTAGCAAGATGGAAACTTAGCGACTAGCTTTCTCGTGGCGTATCATGCTTCTTCGGACCCGTTTCCACGGCTCATCGAGCACAAGTGGGGATTCATCAAAGAGTGCGTTCGTCCGTCGTTGCAACATGCCCATGTCTTCGTTCAAGGCACATGTCCTTGCTGGCGCGGCGTCTGGGAAGGCGTACCGGTGGCTGCTCCTCTTGTCCCAAAACACGGAATGGCAAGTACCAAATGCGAGCATGAAGCAACGCCGAGTCTGGGTACGGAGGTACATGTGTACAAGAGGTGGTGTGGGATGATGGGACGACACCATGGGGGGGGATCTGTCGTTTAGGTGCGCGAGGGAAAACGTGCTGATGCTGGCTGGGCCCAGAGGATAGGGTACGGTACAGTAAGGTAAGGTACAGTGGATGGGCATGTGGGGCTTGAGGACCTTGCCTCATTACCTGCGGTGCCGGCGGAAGCGTATCCGTCCTGCCTCGCACACTTCCGTCTCGAGTCAGACACTCTATCTTCTCTCTGGCAGCAGATAACACACCGAGGGCTGTTGCACGGCCAGGCAAATCCAGCACAGTTGGCAATCCATGGTGCCATAGCCCGATTGCCTGCCAGGGATGTCACAAGTCGCTGGCCTTGGTCATTTTGATCCTTGTGTCTCTGGGATACGTGCCACGGGCCAAGGCCCAGCAATCAGTCTAAAGAAAAGAAACGAAGCAGGTGCAAGGGCATGGAGTAGAGTGGAAGGAACCTTGAGGCAAGGGGTGCGTTTAGAGGAGGGTCAGGAGAAGGGGGAGACGGAGAGAGAACGTGGCCATGTGCACCCGCACAGGCGACAGGGGTACGTACTGCCCTGGCTTACAGAGGGAAACACCGACACGTCCCATGGCATGACACCTCTTCCCACAGATCAAGCTAACATAACCGGGTTCCCTTTCCTCGAGCACCCTGGAGCTCTAAGGATAGTGGGTTTGGTCAAAAAGCTCACCTTCGGCTGGTGCGTTGCGCTGGTACTGGCAGTGACTGCTGTTGGAGACTTGCACCTCGTCTTTGCTCTCTGTCTATGATGTCTCGCTCGCTCACTCTTTCCGTTTCCACCTCCAGGTCCTCCTCGTCATTTCCCTCTCGCTCACCCCCAGGACTACATACCCTACCTACCTTGCTCGCAGTAAGCCTACAGAGAGGCCTTTTTTCTCACGCTCCCTTCCTGATCGCCGAGCGTATCCCCCAGCCTCACCTTCTCTAACCACGTACCCACACCGATGTTCCGTCCCGTCTGATTTCTCCATCACTTTTTTTTCTTACCCAATCTCTCCCTCACCATCTCAACTCTCTTTTTTCTTCGCCCCCCTCCCCCCCCCTCCCCCTGGTCCCTGCACTATGTATAATGCTCTACCGGGGGCCAGACGAGATGTTCTCTGGGTTTTGTGTGTTTGCAGGGATCATGTGTTTTCAACCGAGTCCCTTGTCCATGTCCCGTCGTCGCCGCCGCCGGTGCCGGGTCTTGCTCCGCTGGCTTCCGTGAATGTGCTCCCTCTTGTTCGCGTTGGTGTCGGATGAATGATCCGGATGCACCACAACGCGCACTGCCGGGGAGTTCCCAACATGCTGACGGCAATCGCTGACATTTCCATTTCGCATTTCGTGGTCTGAGCAATGCAAAGTGAACAGCCCAAACGACAGTGACGAGTCAAATGATCCCTTACCCATTTCAGATTGAAGCGTCGCGGTGCAGGACTCAAAACCTAGTGAGCCTTCTTTCCCGAAGGAATCATGCTTCATTGCCAGGCATTGAAGCATCCCTAGAGGTTGGCCGCCTCTGGTGCAAGCCTCAGCGTGAAGCGGGAAGACAAGGGGGGGGGGGGCAAAACATCTACATCTTTTGCCCCCCCCCCTTGTCACCCAAGATGTAGGAAATTAATTTTAGGACGACGACGGCTCATCATCATCCAGAGAAGTCGGACGGCAAGGATTTATTGCTATCCATTTTTTAGCTCGCGTTTGTGGAGGGTTCAGCCGTGGCACTGGCAATGACAGGTGAGACAAGCGTCGCTGTGTAATGCTGGACGAACAATCCTAGTAGAGCCGACTGTCAGGGCGGAAGGAAACGATGATGTACCTCTAGGAGGATGAGAGAGCAGGGGAATGCGTAACAAAGCTGGAGAGAAGAAACAGAAAGGGGGGCGTGTGGGAAGCTGTAAGCAGCGGCAAGCGGTGCAAAATACCAGCCCAGCGGCAGCGGTAGGGAGCGGCGATAGCAGTGTGGTGGGGATCCTCGAAAGCGATCCGGGATGCAGAAAAAGTATACGTACCGCTTCATGGACAAAGCAGCTCCAAACCGGTGCAATGCAGATTGGATTGGTCTCGGAGGAGTTAACCCCCCCTCCCCAACAGGTCGGGTAAAACGAGGCCAAAGTCTGCCCGGGCACTTTGTCCAAGGCAAGACCTGGCGAGACAGGGCAGATCCGGTAGCGCAGAAAAGACGACGGGCGGACGGAGACGAAGCGGAACGGGGGTCAGAAAGACGAGGGGGGAGGGCAGCCGACCGAGTGGCAGGGATGTACATAGATGGAGGACGGGCATGGACATGGGGGCCGCAGAAAGCAGACCCGCGGCGAGGAACGCCGCCCGTTCGGGCGCTGGAGAGGAGGCCTGAAGAGTGAATGTTCAAGGCGGCGACGACGGAGGCTTTGTTTGACATGCACTGCCATTGTCTCCGTCTCCGTCCCTCGAGGACCGACATTACTTACCATTGCGCATACTGGCCGTCGTAGGCTTTGCGGCAGCTAGTCGCGTCATGTCGTTAGCAGCGTACTTGTCGTGTTGTACCAACAACGGCAGTAAGGGCATATTGAGAACCGTGGGGAGAGTGTAGTGGACAAGGAATTTACTGGGGGGGTTCGGGTTTGTTTATGTAACGAAGGCAGGGATCGAATGGAGAGGGCGACTGGCAGCGCATCTGGGGTTATAAGATCCATTGACGACAAGAGTTGGCGCAAGAACAGGGCCCCCATTGCCGGCGGCAAAGTAGTTTCAGGGCAGCAGAGAGAGCCTCGAGGTGCCAAAACGAGGGTACGCTCCCCTCGAACAACGGGTACGTACCCCGGAAAGATGAGTCCAGGGGGTGGTGGGTGGGTTTACATACCCCGATCCACGGGCCTTCCTTCACCGCACTCGTCTACTCGTTTGTGCTACATTTGCATTCCTCCACCCTATCACTGGGGTACCTGGTTACTTAGGTACATGGGTACATGAGTATCATGAGGAGGGGGGAGAAAAAGATGGCCAACCCGAGCCTCCTTCAACATTTATAACCCACGCCGGTCCACAGAACATGATCACTTTCGTCCCCTTCTTCTCCAAGAAGACAGAGACAGCTCATGTGTGTGCACTGTGATCAAGTCATTCTTTCCCCCCAGAAAACCCATTGAAACGGACACGCACATACAAGTCGTCCATCCTCAGCCTGTCATCGCTTCGCTCCGCCTCTTCAAAGACCCGACTCCGCGAAGACCCGACTCCTCGGTTTCCTCCTTTACAACACCAAAACAACAATATTTCCCGTCTTCATAGCTAGACGCTACCTCAACACCCTTCCCTTGCCCCTTCAGCCTCCCCTCTCTTGCATACTTCTTAGACATGGCCTCTACAACTCCACAACAAGGCTCGGTCAGCACGTATGTTCTCAGCTAGGCTTTCTCTCATCTCCCTACTTGCCTCTTCGTCGCGGTGCACTGGTCGTGTCATGCTGTGCTGATGCTCAAGTACGCAGCCATTCTCCGACTGCGAGAACAGCCACCCCGCAACAAGTTCGTCTCCAAAGAGACGTGAGCATTGGAACCTTCCTTTCAGACCAAGCCTTTTGTAGTATTCATGGCACCATCGCGGTTCGGCAGGACCCGTTGTCACCTGTGACTGCAGCCATCGCCAACGTCGACCAATTGGGACTCGGTTCCAGTGGAACCGGCCCGGGCGGCGCTGTCGGGCGGCTTGTCTCCGACGTGCCTGTAAACCTACGCGGAACCGGATCGCAATTTCTGAACCCAAGCAGTGACACCATGAATAAATAAGGCATGGTCGAGGTGCAACACCTGCCGTGGTTGTGGCTTGACAGGTGGTAATAAAGCCAGGACGGTACCTGGCAGTCTGGAATGGTACGTACCCCAGTTCTTGACCCTCTGCGCACCTTTCTCAAAACAGCTAGGTCCCGTGGCCCCTGGAAGGGCATGACAGAGCACCAGCAAAACTCGACAACAGACACGCACCCCGGGGTGTTCATTTTGGCACGTTATTTTCACAAGTTTGCGTTCAACGCTGACGTTGTAAGACCCGTCACCCGAGTCGATGGATCTCCGGGTACTCTTTGATAGACTTTTCTGTTAAGCTCATTTGCGGTGCCTTCCCCCTCCGAGAACTGCCCTCCGACGCTTTTAAGCGACAACCATGGATAAGCTGGTAACTCAGAGCTCTCCTGTATGGGTACGTCGCGATTGTTCCAGAGGCGGCCGTAGGCGCATGGGTATTATGCTCAACGGTGTTCGGGTGTTCGACACGCGTGTCGTAAACCGTTCGGTCGGGGTTTTGGGCTGCTGATGCTATGAGAAACATGGAAATTAATGGTTTAATGGTGGATAATGATCGGGAGCGGATGATTTGCAGGCAGTGTCTAGCAAGCAGGGCGGGATGAGGGGTCACGGCATGAGGGGCTGCATTCCCGGAAGATTTAGACCTGGTACGGGAGCCGGCGTGACGTTTGACCAGGTCGACCCTTTCTCTCGGGCTCGGCTGCGTTTGGCTTGGTTCCTTTGTGCATCACAACATCGATGTGTTCCTCCAGATAACAATCAGATTATGTCGCTCGAGATTGCCACTGCGTCCCGTTGCACGACCCAAATTTTAAGCATCCCATCTCCATGGACCACCCTTGACGTAATCTACAATGCGGGGACCATTGTTTCCCGATTCGACGTAATGACCCGCACAGACTTTGGACTCAATGGGACCCGGACCCTGTTGTTCATCTGATTAATGGACTCTATTTCAACCGCAACCTCATCTGATGATTTCGAGCTTTTCAACGCCTCAATGACCGTCAGGTTTGCGCGTCCTCAATCATCACCACGACCATCTCCTTCGCCAAGGCCGAGTTTCCGTTCAACCTGTCCCTGAGTGGCTGCCCCCACGGACTAGGTCGCAAATGGGTTAGCGTGGCAATAAGGCATCCAGACGGACGGTAGGCAGCCTAGCGATTGCGGGGCGAACCATGCGGACACTTTGTTTGGCGTAGAATGGGACGGTGCAGGAACGGTTGGAGAAGGGCGAGGTATGCCACCCCAAACACCCACTCAAGAGTTTGAGATGATCTCAGTTCAACCGAAGCCAGCCCCACGACTCAATTGGCTCCCACAGCGGGCTTGCGACGTGAGGTGACATGATCGCTGATCCTTGCCGGTGCATCCATCTGCGCGTGCGATTTTCGCTTGGATCCAAACGCACTTGAAGACGGTCACGGGAATAGCATGCTCGCCAATTGTCGCATGGGGACATCAGTTCTCCCGAGTCAACACGCGTGCGAACCGGGCTCTGAATAACGCTGCAGATAAGCCCCGATTTCCGGTTAGGCGGGGTTTGCATCGGCGATGGATTCGTCCGGGTCGTCAGGCTCTCGGATGGCGATACAAAGGTGTGATTATTCAGGATCCGACTCAATGGAAACAGCCCAGCCACAAGTCCCCAGTGATGCATCGCAGAATTTTCAGTGACATACGTCAAGGGTGTGCCGCACAGTTGCCGGCGTGGCTAAGAAATGCATGCACGGCTGGGAGGGCGTGGAGAAGCCAAGTGGGAGATGCAGGCGAAGTGGACACATTTTGGCAAACGAGGCTGAGCGGGCATGGTGTTGCTGTGCACCGTGGGCAGTGTGGCGGAGGGGGAGTCCAAGGTCAAGCAGCAGGTGATAGAGAGTGAGGAAAAAAGGTGACGGCGCTTGGCCCGTCTGATGGAGCCAGATGCCATGAGGGGAGGGGATTTGGTGTGCCGAGTGAGTGAAGGTCAGGGCAACGGAGCAACTGGACAGCGAGCGCCGACGACGGCTAAGCTCTACACGGCGAAATTCGCTGAGACGCCCCGGCACTTGGGACAAACGACAAGAGGGAAAGCAGAAACACAAGGGTAAAGAGGGACGAGATCAGGATGGAGGGGGATAAGCCGACCAGAGGTGGATGCGACTGGACTCGACCGGGGGGGGGATGGCGACAGAAAAAGGCAGATGGAGAGTGACCCCGGGGAGTTGTGTTAGACAAGGCGGGCGGGCAGGAAGTGAGCGAGTGTCCGCTACGTACGGTCGGGACTGGGGGGAGCAGGAAAGGCATTCGCGCGCGGGGGACGCAGTGGCTGTAGGGAAACCGAAGCTGAGCTGTGGGCAAACGGACAAACCCAACCCGTATCAATCATCTCAAGCCTGCATTGCCTGTGCCTGTGTCGACGTTACCTTCCCCCCATGCCCATCCGTCGGATCGCACTATACCCATCCCCTCGTCCCCCGTCACACACCTACCACCACTCAACCGGGGCCGCTCACCTCACTCCTCCCGTCCCTCCAGCTTTTCTTTTGCTGCCCGCCCATCGTCCCATGCACATGCGCATCAGCGATGCACCCCGTTTTCGCACCCAAAAAAAAAGTCTCTCTTCCCTCTTCCAAAAACCTCCTGTTTTACCACCTCACCCGCTCGAGCGCCCCTTGGTCGTTCAAGAGAACGAGAGTCGAATTCGTTTTATTTTCCCTCCGCTCCGCATTCTACCTTGCTCCTACTCCAACACAGCTTGCCTGCCGACCTACTTTCCTCGGGCCAGAAAGACGGAGCCAGCTTCCGACTTCCTCGTCGAGGCCTCAACACCACACACCGTCCGCCTTTGGGGCGAACAGTAGACAAGCAGCACCCCCGTACAAGATCTTTCTTCCCTCCTCTTAAACCTCTGCCATCTCCTCGCCCCAAGATGGCAGCTCCTCCTCAGCAAGACGGCAATGCCGTTGCCGCCTCCACCGCCGCGGAGCAGGGTTCCGTCAACAGGTACGTGATCAGCATGGCCCACGGGGCATCTTTATCCGTCCACGCAGCAAGCCGTCGAGAAATCCCGCCCCATAGGCCGAGTCTGGATAGCTCAGGCGTCTTCCAAGAGCTGTCCAGACAGCATGGCTAACGAGGATGGCGATCTCGAGGACCGCGAGTGCGGGGTCCCCTCACCGCGGTTACCACAAGCTACGGCCTGCCTTCCTTACCCCTCTCTTCTCCCGGATCCCCTTCCCTTCATTATATTGAATCGATCGTTGTGTTTTCGGTCCGGCTGACGATGTCGACTGCTAGTGGTAACCTGCGTGTGCCCGCCTCGGCCGAGGAGAAGGCGGTCGAGAGCTACGCACGCCTCGACCCGTTTCTTGCAGACATTGATCTCGAGGGTGCCAGCAGCAACCATGCCGGCACTTCGCAGCGAGATGAGAGTCGAATTCGGCGGCTGGTCGGCCAAGTCGCTACAGTCAACCAGCTCCTCCCCAGCGGTGGAGGCGGCGGGGCCGCCCATGACGAGGCCACCGGCAACCCGCCGACCGAGCTTCTACGCATCGGTGCACATTTCGAGGAGTAGTGTCGCCATCGTCCTGGATTCAAGCAGTCAGTCTGTCGACAACCGCAATACTTATTGAGACGCAATAGCAAGCACCCTCGGCAAGCATCGGGGTGTTGGTGATTGGCTGGAGCATCATCCACCGGGAATAACTGGGATGACGTCTCCCAGTTAAACCCGAAGTCGGTGGATCCCGGCATCAGCCCACGCATTCCCCTCATATGCGGCCACGTCGACAAGGCTTCTTGAAATGGCTGGCATATGAAGTCCAGGACGAGCGCATGCGTTCCGAAGAGGTGCATTTGTAATGAAGAAATGGAGATGAAGAAATGAGGTGTTTCGTTTGCGCGGTGTCGATGAATTTCCTTTGTCAAAAACTTCCTTCATATATATGCCAAGGGCATCTCAGGCGACTGAGGAGCATGCGGTCAAAAAAGATGGGGCCGGTCGGTATCTGGCGATAGACTTGGAGTTCTCTTGTTTTTCCTAGTTACGCTCTTGTTTTTCATGGGTCGGGTTGGTTTGCACGGGAGCCTCTATGCTTGGAACGGTCGCGTCGTTTGTGCGTTTGCTGTGCGCGGCGCATATTGTCAAGACCATCGCCTTAACTTACGTACATGCGCGGTCGGATGATGGATAATGGATGATGATGACGATGATGAGCGAATATCTGGCGGGCATACAGATATTATGAGAGGGGTGATGAGGATGTTGGAGGGAGAGTTTCGTGTGCAGCCTGAAAGGTCTCCTTTCTTGTAGATTAATCATGGGGCTGGGCTTGGCCAATGGACGGACACGCGTAATTTCCATTTTTCCGCATGCGGTGTGCCTCGGACACCGGTCGTTTGCCTTTGACCATGCGTCAGGTGATGACAGCGGCAGCGAGTCCAAACCAAGCTGAATAATGGACATGCAATATTGAGGTTTTATGTACGTCGGAGTTAATGATCTGGTATTTTCTGCAGTTAAGCTGTCGGTAGCTACGCCAAGATATTGAAGAACACCTGGTGCACAAAGGCGACTGATTGTGTACACTTGCGCTTTTCTTTCGCTCAGACGCCCGATAAGCGCACTGCTCTATCTGTGTCATTCTAGCAACCGAGAACGCGACTGATATAACCGATGCGCTAGCGACTCCTTGTCACGAGACTTAGTTTAGACCAATGTCCACGTCTGCAAGGTGCACCTCAGAGCAACGAGTTCTTCTGGGAAAACACAGATTGGCTTGGTTTGAGAGCCGTGATAGGAGAGGTGCTTCCCCTGAGTCTCATACGAGACGGACGATGCATCTCTTGACCAAATGACACAGGGTCCGGCCGTTTTTGGCATTCAACTTAAAGATGATTCAAAGGACATGGTTGACTTACGTGTCTAGTGAGATGAATTTGGAAGGCCAACGGAGGAACATGTTCGAAGCAAAGTCCGGCAGTGCAATAAGAAGATCCTTGATCGGACCTTTTGTCAAGAGTTGCGCCGCACGATGCCTTACTAACAGCGCCGGTATTGTGGAGATAAGTTAGCCAGTGCTGGCTGCCGGCCAGACCCATCTGTCACGCACGTGTTCGGACCTAACCCCCAATAGACCGGCGCAACGGGCGACCATGGCTTATGTGGTCCGAATGGCGGGCGATCTGCCTCGTCAAGTGAGATAGGTGAGGGTGGCAAATGAGGAAGTGGGAGCTGGTGGCCCGATGTGGAAGCGGATTGATGCTCTCTACCAATACTGCCGCTGCGATACCGCTACACCTGCTCCAACACAGTGCAAGGCATAAACAAGGCTGTAGGGATCCCAAAGATCCGGTGTAAGTGTGAGGGGTGGGGTGTACGGCGTGCACCGTCTCGTCCCGGAGTGGAGCGAGGTCGAGGGGGCCCGGGTCACAAGACGTTGATCCCGTCGTCGTTTTGCGCAGAATCCCAGAGCGAAAGCTTGGGCAACAAGGACAATCGATGGAGGACTTTGGAGTCATCCACCACAGCAGACGCCCGCACCACCAGACCGCACCCGCCTTTACCCTCACTTCCATCACTCCCAACGGCATATCCTGACACTCGAAACAACCGACCAGGACGTTTTCTTTCCGAATCGCACACTGGCCTGCGAGGTACCCTTTATGTGGGCTTGGGCAAGTTGTTGTGTCTCCCTTTGCGCTTCACGTATCATCTGTGCAGAGCGCTGTCGAGGCCGACTCCTGCGTCGTAGCTGGCTCAGTCGCGACTGGAAAATAAGGAAGGGAAAAAATACCACCAGGCAGAAAATGGAACGAGACGATGACTTCAATGGAGGCCATGGTTCGAAGTCATCGGCCGAGATTGTGGTCAATATGCCGGCGATGTGGCACAAGGAGAGAATGAGACCAACCGCCACTTCTATCAGGGTCGCAGGATCGGGCTCTCCAGTACCAACCTTCGAACACCCCGGTTCCGCCAGTGGAAATGTTTCGGCCGCATCATTGAAGTGGGAATCTACATTACTACGGAGAGAGCTACCGAGGGGGAGGAGCGCATCGAGTTTGTGGTGCTGCCTGGATACTTTACCCAAGTGCTAACCAACCTGACGCCTATTCCAAAGTCGCCATAAATGAGAGAAAGTGTGCCTCAATGCGGCACAGATGATACCCCCTGCATACGGGGGTGCGCCGCCTGACTATATTACCCGGTAAAACATTGATGGGAGAATCTACACACCGGTAGGGTGAATGGTGCCGAGCAAAATGCTAGCCAAGCCAAACGGAATGCGCTGAAAGTGGATCGTCCGGTTCGCCAACTCCCTTCTTCTGGACAATTGGGAGTAGCTCCTCAGGTACCCACAGTGTGTACACCCAAGGGAAGGTAGATGAGTTTGGATGATGATGCAGTCTCTCATCAGATCCGACTTTGACTACTGCTGGCTTCAACCTAAGGCACTAACCCCTATTAGCCATCCACTAGGCTGCCTTCGGGAGTCAAAGTCGGATCTGATGAGAGACTACGGTAAATGTGCATTTCTCGTTAATCGTGATTCGTGCGTCGACCAAACTCAAGGAAGAAGGCATCTAGCAGGCAACCAGAGCCGCGGGGACACCCACCCACCCACCCACCATTGGTAATACCCCAATAATTGGTCAGTAGCCTCCTGTATGCACAGTTTACGCTGCGCAAACAGGAGCCATTACATGCACCAACTAGTGTATTTTAAAAAATGCCGTAGGGTAACAAGTCAGTTCACCCAATCACTCTAGGTGAAAACCCAAGGAGTGGGCCAGAAGCTTCCTTTTATGCAAGCCAGAAGTGGCGTGCATTGCACTGATTTCTATGATATTTGGACAACTTTGGCAACGAGCGCTCTCCTTACCTTCTCTTACGCGTTGATGGTTTCTTTATAAGTTTCATCGGCGCCCTCTATCAAGATGTGTGCAATGTATGTCCCACTCTCATCTCACCTCTATGCGAAGAGAGAGGTTGAAAAATGCATCCTATCTTCTACATTTCCTGCCATTGTAGCACTTGTCCACGAGGCCCGGCTGCCTCATCATCACCTTCGCCAGCAACAGACACACAAAACCGCTAAGTTGCAACAGCGTTGTGCTGTTTCTCTACCGCAAAGACAATACATAACCACCTCAGACGGCTTTGCTGCGTGTCATATGCAACAAGCACCTGTCGCCCCTCAAGCTCACAACATCAAATCGGCTTCGCAACACCGTCGTAATGTCATCCAACATTGCCAACCAAGGCTCCGTCAACTCGTAAGTTCCATGAACACTGCGTGATGAGTAGCATCCATACTCTTGAAACTTCAGTAAAGGGTGGCTTCGCACCATGCTGGCTTGGGGCCTCAGCCGTTTGGTATCAGTATACCAACGCGCTGCCCCTTGTGCCCGTAACAAACCGTCTCTATCACCATCTAGCAATCCTGGCTCAACCTGCGTGGTCTTTCCACTCTTTCAAGTCCACCTCTCCTTCCAACCATCGCAGCGCGGCAGCACACCCGCCCAAGTTTGGTCAGGCTAACGTCAAGTATTCATAGGGACGCCTTGTCCGCACCATTCTCTCTCGCGCAACCGGGTCAAGATTCTCAAGCACGCCTCCGGATTTTCAACGCCGACAACCAACTTGAAAGCGGAAGCGTTCATCGAATCGGGTCTCCTCAGGGACAAAAGAATCGTACTCAACGCGTGAGCGCCGTCATTGCAGACGTCGAACAGCTCGTCCCTTACGGGGTCGATGTCGCACCCGTTCAAGGGCAAGCCAACAACGACCAGACGCCAGACCTTCGAGGCGTCGGCGAACAATTCTCCGTAATACCCAGCAACGCATCCAGTGACTGATTGCGGCATTCACTGCAGCCATGGGCATATGCTTGCGTTCATATATCTGGCGTACATGATGATGGCTCTGCTGTATGAGCTGGTGCTGTATGGTGGGGATCTTTGGTGATCTTATCGTCGGGGTTATCCCGGATATGACGTCTCCCAGATCCTCGGTGCATTGCAGCCGAGGATACCCCTGCCTCGGGACGTTCCACTTGAGATGAACCGAGCGGGGCGCCCAATGCTGCATTTTGTACGAGGGAGCCCATAGTTCGGCTCGCGCCTGTGTTTGCACGACAAAGAGATGGGTTATGAAGTGATGGCGTTGGCAAGAAGCGAGGGAAAAGACTTTTCTTTGTGATACCTTTTTCTTATGATGGATGACTGATGATCGCATTCTGGTATCTGATATTGGTAGTCGTTGCTCGGAAAAGGGCGAAGCGGGTATTCCAGTATAGACGCATGGCTTTCCTTCCTTCCTTTCTTCTCTCTCTCTCTTTTGGTTCTCGATTTTGATTTTGCCTGCGACGGTTTGGCGGTGTCGTAGGTTTGTGCGAGTATGTCTCTTGAGAGGATGAGTGGGTGAGATTTTCGAGTCACCTGCACGTACGTCGCGACGGTGTCGGGACAGCTACGGTCTTGAATGATCGATGAAACTATTGATGGGTTTGGCTCCGTGATGACCGTTGTTGGTATGTGGAGAGAAGCTGCTGGAGTCGGATGAGGTGGAGGAAGAACGACACAGTCTTATGCCGTTGTTATGTGGCTGTGAGGGGGTTGTTATCTTTTGGCTACCTTAGTCCTTGGGAACCCGATTGGATCGGGTCAATGGTTTTCCAACACGTGCATTGAAAGCTCCCCCGCTTCGCTCATTTTCGTTTCTCAGAAGACAGATCCCTTAATAATCAATAACTTTGGCAAGGCAGATTAGGCAACCGGATTGCATTTTGGCCACTTTTCTCAAATAAGACCTGTCAGCGATCGAGCACTTTCTTTTACAAGAGAAATTTTTTCGCATACAACTATCGAAAGCACCCTCAGGGGTTCTGGAAGATGCCATCAAACCAGTTCTGAACCTCTTCCTGGCCGCCGTGGTCCAGCGAGGTGACAAGGCCGACATACCCATCCGGCCGCAAACCAACAACAGCTCCCTTAGCCCGATCAACACCGTACTTCTCGTACGCCTTCTGAGGCTCCTCGTACATCGTCTCCCCATCCGCAAAAACCTTGTCGTAATCCCATCCAAGCTTGCTATCAAACGGATGATACGTCTCATGCACGTCCCGCAACATGTCAACCTGGTCCCGCGGCGCAGTGTGCACGAGCAAGACCTCCACGATAGACGGGTCCGCTTCCGTCTTGAACTTCATTGACCCGCTGTGCGGGTCCGACCCAGGCGAGAGGCTGATTGTCGGCAGCTTGGGCAGGTACGACGACAGCCATGCGCCGAGCGCGTTGACGCCGTCGCGCTGGGACGGCTGCGAGATGTCGCCGCCAAAGACTACGAGGCGGAAGCGCCCGTTGGAGGGCAGCTTGTGGTGCAGCTCCCAGAGGCGGGCGTCGGACTGGCGGACGACCTTGTACGACGGGAAGCGCTGGCCGAGCTTGCAGTTTGTGGCGAGGGAAGGCGTGCTCTTTGCGGCACTCTTCTTGAGTCCGTAGTCCTTGTCGTTGGCTTCTTCGGGCTCTTTGGCGACGAAGACGGTAGATTGGTAGTTGACACCGACACCAGTCGTGAACTACTCGCGTGTTAGCCATCTCATCACCACCCTCCGCAGCAGATCGCACATACCATCCTGCTAGTGTGGAACGCCTTCTGCAACTCGTCATCCGACACGCCCATCTCGTTCTGGACATCCTTGGCCGGGAGACCAGTGAACAGCTTCGAGAACTTGCTGTCGAACGCGATGAGGTCCTTGGCGATCTTCTTGCGCTCGAGCTCGTACGTGGAGAGGATATGGCGCGGCAGGATGTTCTTGCACGCCAGGCCAATCTTCCAGCCGAGGTTGTAGCTGTCTTGCATCGAGACGTTCATGCCCTGGCCTGCCTTGGGGGAGTGCGTGTGCACGGCGTCTGGGGGTGGTGAGTTGCTGCTTGTGGGAATAGAGAATGAGGCTGCTTACCTCCCGCGAGGAAGACGCGGTTAAGTTTGCTGAAGCGGTCGCCTGTCCGCTGACCGATTTGGTATGCCGTCCACCTGTGAGACTGTCAATAATAGGCCTCGTGACACGGCAACGAGAGTTGAACTCACCAGTCGCAGTAGTGGTACTCGAGCTTGTACGGGCTAAAGATCTTCTGCGCGGATTTGAAGATGAAGTCCGGTGTGATCTGAGACCTATCGACGCGACCGCCGCCGGCCGAAACCTCCTTTAGCTGAATGTAGAGACGGACGATCCTGTTCTCGCGCGGGATGATCATAAGTGCGCCGGACGTGCTGTTAATCATGGTCCGGAATCTGATATCGGCTAGCCAGTCGTCAGCTTGATGCAATGCGTCGTCGTGGGGGTGTACTTACGAAAGTCTGTGATGGGGACGATATCCATCACGCCCCTGGTACATCATCGTCAACTTCAATCCTCTCAGCATCCATCTCACCGATACTCACCAAATGGCATCCGTCGTCTCTCCCTTCATCTCAAATTCCTTCCCAAGCGCCTTCCTCGTCCACGAATGTGCCCCGTCACACCCGACAACATACTTCGCCCTCACAACTTCATCCCTCGCTTCCCGCCCTTTGGAGCGGTCCAGAATCTCTCCAACATCGTCATCGGCGAGATTACTCCTGAAAATGCCGTCGTTGAGGTTACTCAGCATCTGCGTCGGCGTCGCCTCCTCCTCCGTTAGATGCCGCAGCGTTACCGTCACCGGGTGCGCGTCCGGGTCTTCGGCCTTGCTCTCGTCGATCTCGAGCGACGTCGGGATGACCATGCGCTCGACGTGCAGGGCGTCCGAGGCGGAGGCGTATGAGGCGCGGATGGCTTCGAGGAAGAACTGCTCGATTCGACCCTGGTGCAGCACGGACTCCGTGAAGCGGGAGAGGCCGGGGATGGTATTTGCTGCGTGGGCGCTGCGTATGATTTTGCCGCTCTCGTCCGGGTTCCAGAAGGAGATCTCTGCAGTGGTGTGAGTGAGGGGATGTTTGCGTGTGAGAAGTGTGATAAGTTTGACCGACCTAGCATGCGGTTTGCTTCTTTCCAGACGCGTTCTGCGATGCCGAAGCTATCCAGTATCTCAAGAGTCCTCACTTGGAAGCTGCATGCTTATGAGAAGTTGAAAGTTATGATGCATGCCAGGTTTCTTACCCGTCTGCCTGTCCTGAGTAAACTTTGGAAGTCCTCTTGTCAACAATGCGCGTCTTGACACCCAGTCTAGACAACCACAACGCAAGCATCAGCCCAGCCGGGCCGGCGCCGATGATGAGAACATCGACCTCACTTTCAGGAAGAGCTGCCATATTCGCAGTTTTCGGGCGAAGAAGAGAGTAAGATTGAGAGAAAGAATGTTTAAGCTGCCGTTAATAGCTCAGACTCAGACTAGCAAAAGCTCTAAAGACTTGTAAACGGACCCCGGCTTTCGGCTCTTATGCTCACACAGATTTATCCAACCATAGGCAAGCCCTCGGATTAAGGCTCCATTATGGAGGTCGGCATTGGCCCACAGTGAAGTGCCGTTAGAGATTTGGGGTTTGGGGGAATAAGCGATGAGAAAGCATGACAAAGAGCGCGAGGGGCTAAAAGGAGGGGCAGAATTGGGGAACTGCTCATTCCTTGGCTTCATGACGCTCGGATCATGGACGTCATGGGATGTGGGGGCTCCCGTCGGGTGGAATGGGGAAACGATGCAGGGACTCGGACAGTAAATGAGACCAGTCTGAACGGCTGCGCGTGCCAGAGCGGGTACACAATGGTAGCATAACATGCGAGCCTAGTTGATACCTGTACATGTACGATTAAAGACGCGAGAATGCAGGCGAGGGGGGGTGTGGGATCTCTGTGCGTGAGGGGTATGAATCCGACTGTATAAGCGTTGTCTAATCATTATGCACGCTGGTGTCGTGCACCTCGGCAGTCTTCCGATTTCCAAAGCCGCCCATCCCACGTCTACTTCTACCTCATCTCTCATTCAGCTCCCGGCCCGGCCCGGCCTAGATCGCGCCGTACTCTCCACACCCGCGACCCTACTGGCCGCTTCTCGTGGCCTTGCAGCACCTCGATCCACGGCGTGTCGCTGACGTCGCCGGCCAGTTCGAGGTTCTCTGGCTCCTCGTCTGACCTGTCGCTCTCCGTGTCTTCGTCCATCACCTCCACTGTGTCGTCCCTCGCGTCGCCCTCGACGGTGTTGAAGGATTGGTAGTACAAGTCTTCGGTGTACGCCCAACCTGGGGAGTCGAGCTTGCCATGGACCAGCACCAGGTGGTGGCCTGCTGCTTTGGCGGCTTCAATGCGCTCCAAGGGAATCGGGGTGAGGATTTGAAAAACACCGTTCTTAGTATCGATACCGCGGAGGAGTACCATGCCCAGGGTCTGCGAGTATCGAGGGTCCAGGGTTTGGGCGTCCGAGTTTGGGATGTAGGAGATTCCCTCCGGCGTCCTCGAAATGATCCCGTCCAGGTTCGATGCACCGCCGTCAACATCCATCACATCGGTGCCAGGTGCAGCTGCCATGAATCCCTCGCTCTCCTTAGCGAGGCGGCTGAACGCCTTGATATCCTCGGCTTCTACTAGGCATAGTATCGAACCATTGATCGTTTCCGCGAGTAGATCTGCCGGGGGTTGGTACTCATAGCTGATGATTCCTGAAATCCCACGATTCTTGCCCTTGTAGCTGACGGTCAATGGCGGTGATGACGACAACGGAGTCGGGTCCCATGTCAGCTTGTTCGAAGGATTTCGAACGGTGTGGAAATATGCGAGCGCCTGCATCGAGCGCAAATGTGCCGCCGTTCTCGATGTGAACTCCGACTGCTGGGAAGGTAGGAGGGTGAAAGTCCCCTTGCACGCCACTTGCAAGCCCTCGACAGTCTCCTTAGGACCGTCTTCGGACATATATATGACTTCGGTGGGTTTGATAATCGTCGCCAATTCGGTCAAGAGGTCGAGACCGGTGCCCAAAACCCAACCTGGCGTGTTGATGATCAAGGGCAGTCCCTTACAAGTGCTTTGGTAACGTTGGTAAAGATCCAGTGCGCATTCCAGATACAGCTCCGGGTCTGAGGCCGGAGATACTGAGGCAATTGAGTGGCATCTGACAACAGATACGTGCTGCTCGCCTGCCGCGATGTGGGTGAAGGACGGGCCCAGATTTGGTTCTCTGACCTGGACCAATGCGATCGTGCCTGCGGGAGTGTACTCTGGCTGGCCGGGATCAAGGTCCAGCACAACCACCGATAAGGGTGTTTTCCGATTTCGGGTCTGCTGGCCAACGCCCGTAAGAAGGCGGTTGCCCAATATTCGACCAAACGTGGACTTTCCAGACGACTTGGGGCCACAGAGCATCACGCTCAGTGGTGGTTGATCTGGCTGCCTTGCTTTCGTCAAGCCCGCCAGTTTCTTATTCCATGCGGGGTGAGCGCGCAGGTCCTGGATCAAAGCCCGCTTCGGCGCATCTTCGGTTGTGCATATCTACAGCTAGTTAATTTATTATACCCTAGCGTTTCGGGTGGCTCGCTTACAATCTTGTAGGTGTCTCTTTTGAGGGCTTGCTTGCTCGACCTTGCCTCCGGCTCGTGCCATAGACTTCGAAAGAGGGGCGAAAGTCGCTCAAGTTTTCGAAGGCTGGCTCCTTGCGGATGTGGGTGAAGCTCCAGTTTAGTCTCCTCCGTACAACGCAGCACAGGAATTGCATGGCAGTGAGGCGCATGAACCCATTTGATGCCATCGGGGGCCGAACGCTTGCCCCAGCGACTGTAACTTCGCCGTCGGCTACCCGAATACCATAGCTTCCGAGCACCAAAAAGCGCTTATATCTATTAGCATGGTATTGCATAATGATCTGGATGTCACTTACCTCGCTATCGTGAAGCCTTAGTTCCAGAATCCCACCAGCGATTTTGCGGGAATTGCTTTTTGTCGGTCTGAAAGTCGAAAACTGTTGAGGGCCAGACTTTACTGATATTAAATCTTCGGGGTCTGCGGTTGGGCTGCTGAGGAAAAGTCAGCAAACGGCCAGAATAGCAAGAGAGTCTTCTCACTTTGGCGCTGCGGTTGCATCTGCTGTCTGCGTTACAGATCGGCTGTCCAAGGCCTTGATCTGACTAGAGCTTGCAAAAGCTCCTACTTGAGGAGTCTCTGTTGCTTTTCCGGTGTCTGCAAGCCTTTTTGACGATCTTGTCTTCATGGGAGATCGTCCATTTGGCGTAGGTGTCGGAGTTGACGCCTGAGACTCTTGGGCGGGTTGAGTTTCAGGTTGAGGCGCCGGTGACAAAGACGGACTGCCTGAAAGCAGCTGTTGCCTCAAAGCAAAAGCGCTCATTGCTTTGCAAAACGGTTAGCGGGCACTTGGGCAAAGACTGAATAGGACAGCTCGAGGGTCCAACTCACGTCTTGAGCCTTCAGAAGTCTCGACTTTGCGCCGCTTTGGAGTTGCCATGATGGATAAAAACAACCGTCTCAAGCAACGGAATGACTTCAGGAAATGACAGCGAAATAGCCCTTTGACACTTTCTCTTCCTCGAAAAACGGTAGCAATGAGGTTGCACTGCCCGTGGCGGCAACCAAGGGGGCTCGCTTCAGAAAAGTGAGGCGCTGTGAGCAGTTCCCATTCACACTTGGGAGATTCGAATTCTGCTCCTTCTCCTTCAAGTTGCAGGCAGGCACGTTTTGAGTACTTATAACAAGCAGTCACACCCTGCCGCACCTGCTGGCGGTGGTATCTATTTCTCACACCTTGCCAACTAAAAAAGGTCAGCTACTTTTTTTTCTTCTACACCACAACTTCTGCTCGCCAAACTCACACACAGCTTCTAAAGCTCTTCCTAAGCCACGCCGAAACTCAAGTTATTCGGACTCGTCCTCAATATCGAGATGTTTGGCAAACCCGACAGCGGCCGACGTCGCGCTGCGAGTTTCCGAAGCGAAATGCACACACCGAAAAATAAAGGTGGAAAATCCTTCATGCGGGCCCGAGCCCCCACCACGCCATCGCCGAACTCACCGACTACGTCCGGCACCATGGCAGCCTGGCCCACAATGCCTGGCACTCACCGCGTCGCGGTCGCTCCTGCTGCCGCGACCCCACCAATGGTCCGTGCCAACCTGGCCGAACTTTTGCAGGACTCTCGAAAATTTCCTGTCGCGCCCAATTCTGCCATCACGACGCCCTCAATCTACTCTACGCCCGCCTCGCGCCTTGCCCCCGAACCACTCCAGGCACGATGTCGTCACGCAAACTAGATGGCGTTCACTCGCTGAGCGCCATGTTGGAGAAGCAATCCCAGGAACCGACTCTTAGCCAACCCAAAAGCAAATTTGCGCGGAGCACCCAGTCCAAGGCCAAGAACGAGAAGAAATTCGATCCTCGCGCTGACGATTCCGATGAAGACGAAGACACCAGCAGCAGCGACGGCAGTGATGACGATGTCCCGACCGTTCCCAACTTTGTGAACAAGCTCAATGGCCAGGCTTCGTCGACCAAACCCGCTGGTACTCCTCTCAAGAAGGCCAAGCGCGGCAAGGAAGATGAGGTCGCCGATAGCGATGTCGAACGCAAGACCTCGTCTGCGAAGCCCACTTCCACCAAGAAGGCTCCCGTCAAACCCGAAAGCTCCTCCGAAGAGCCCTCCTCAGAGTCCGAAGCGGAAGCGGAAGCGTCCGACTCCACCGACAGCAGCAGCGAAAGCGAGAGCGAGCCTACCAAGAAACCGGCACCGAAGGCCTCTGCAAAGGTGGCACTCACCAATGGCGCATCTACCACCTCTTCGAGCGAATCCGAATCTGAGAGTGAATCGGAGGGCGAAGCTGCAAAGCCCGCGGCCAAGCCCTCTGTCAATGGCACCAAGGCGGCCAAGCCTGCCTCGACCAGCTCCAGCGAAACAAGCTCCAGTGAGGAGGAAAGCGACGACGAGGAAGAGGAGGAGTCTGATGACGAGGCCGCCAACAAGTCCGTTGCTGTCACCACCAGACGCAACAGCAAGGACCTTAGCGTTCCTGGTTTTGTCGGCAGGGACTTTGTCCTGAGACAGGCGCAAGGCGATGAGGATGGAAAGGATATGAACGACTTTTTCGCCAAGGCCAAGCTCGACGGCAAGCAGCTCTGGTACTTCACCGCTCCGGCATCCATTCCCATCAATGTCGTTGAGAAGCTTCAAATCCCGATGGACAAGGCCCAGAACGGCGATGCCATCTTCAAGCACAACTCTGAGGACTACACTGTCGGCTTTGACGTGGGTTCAACTGCTGTGCAGCTCCTCATCCCCAACAAGAAGGGCACTCGCTACGAGCAAGGTAAGCAGAGTATCCCAGGCCCTCATTGTGCACTATGCTAATTATGCGCAGCCTCCCGAAAGGTCGACAAGGTCTTGCATGTTAAGCGTGTAACTCAGTTGGTTGGCAGCGAGCCCCGCGCACCGAGATCCAACCAGCCGAACGCTGCACGCCCCCAACCTCCGGGTTTGAGAGCCCGTTTCCACCCTATCGGTGTCTCTGATGACACCCCACTGGGCACGATTGGCTTTGATGCCTCGTCCGACAGCGAAGAGGATGTCGACATGGCGCCCGCTCCCACCTTGCCGTCTAGCTCCAAGAAGTCCAAGCGCGCGTCTACTCAACTCGCGGCTTCGCAAGATGATGCCATGGACATCGACGAGCCCACACCCAAGAGCGCAAAGAAGGACAAGAAGAAGTCCAAGACCGCCCGAGACCCCGTTCAAGACTCCCAGTCTACCGTCATTGAAGTCCCCAACTCGCAGCCTCTGCCCTCCAAGAAGGAGAAGAAGAGCAAGAAGCGGCGCGATAGCATAGAGTCGATCTCGAGTGTGGGCTCCAACCCCAAGCCGGAGCTCCTGAAGGGCCAGAAGAGTGCTGTCGCTACCCCCGACCAGTCCAAGAAGGCATCCAAGCGCAAGTTTCCTGCGGATGAGGAAGAAACCTCTGCTCAACTGGCGAAGGAGGCTGCCTCAGCCGACAAGAAGGCCAAGAAGCTCAAGCGTGACGCCGATAGCGCCGCTCAGGAAGCTGGTCAGGCTTCTGCCAAGAAGGTAACGGCTATTCCTCCACCCACCATCCCGAAGGCGGGCTTCTCTTTCTCCAACCTTCCTATTGGATCCAGCCCGGCCCCTCAAGCCTCGACCCCTCAGCCAAAGTCCAAGTCGAAGAGCTCGAAGAAGTCCAAGGATGATGAATCGGCCATCACCAGCAGCTCTCAGACCGTCTCAGCTCGCAAGGAAACACCCATCCAGCCACCCAGTGTTCGCCGCGAGTCCGCCGTGCCCATCCCCCAGGTCCCTTTCAAGTCTTCTCCCCCAGCTGAGACGCCCAAGAAGGAGAAGCGCAAGCGCAGAAAGTCGGAAAAGACCGAAGAGCCCAAGTCTTCCAAGAAGGAGACTCCGGTTCCGGCGCCAAAGGTCTAAGAAGATCAATAGTGCCGGAAACCTATACCGCGCATTTCAACCTGGCTGTTGAATGACCCAGGTGCGCTTAACATATTACTCGTACCAAACGAGTTGCCCATACACCTGTGAGAGTATATAAGAATGCGATAGCCGCACGACTTGGCTTATCCGTCATCTTGGCCCGCTCGCCAGCTGGTTGAGTTCACAACCGGCCAACCTGGTTTCTTCCCTTTTCTTTTCTTGCATGGTATCGGACGGAAAAGTACACTATGAGCTCGAGATTCATTCTCACATCTCGCATGCTCATATCCCCTTCACGCCGTGGCTCTACGCGATTCAGCTTGTCACATTTCCAACGAGAAATTTGCTCTTGCTGCAATGGCCACATTGGTCTTCGCAAGAGCCGCTTTCGCTTTTGATAAGGAAGGATCCGACGAGTTGCGGTGTGTTGAGAAACGAATCACCTTGAACTTTCTTTCTTTTTTTGAGGCGTTGGATGGATCGATACCTAATGCATATCCTTCTTGTGCGAGGTTTTCATGGGGTCGGGAAGACGGAGAGGAAGTTCGGCTCGAGATGAGCCACATGTTTGTCAGCTAGGTAGCTAGTCACAATGATGACAAAGTGACCAACAACTGCTGAAGCGTATTTGAGTACATCTTGCCCAGCACGGCCTTCATGTGTTGACAAAGACAACTCAACCATCCCGAGGATTCAGCTGTCCACTGGTTTCCTGACTAAAATGAAGTAACACTTCTGTAGCTTGACATAACCAAGCAACCCATCCATGCCAGTTTATACCGATTGTTCTGTAACATAGCTTTGGGGAACATAGTTGGGTAAGAGAATAACATACGAGGGGTGGCGAGGCGCAAGTACCTAGATATATTCCTTGAGCCTGTCTTACTATGGAGCATTGCTACGGCTAAATCCCACTCATATGCCTGGTTCTTAGGTATCATCTAATGTTCAAATCGTTCCCCACCGAAAAGTTACCGGAACCAGAATGCTGGATGCCCGTGCCGTAGAAACGATGACTGGCGGCCGGCTCTTCCTTGCGATCGGATGCTGCATCTGCAGAAGGTTTCGACGCAGTAGACATGGTAGGGGCCACCGCAGGGTCGATGTAGGTAAGAAGCTCTTTCGTGCAAGCGGCAGCGGCCGCGGCAGCAAAGTAGTGCCAGTCGTCATTCTTGTGTGAATCTGCATAGTCGGAGATACCGCGGATGACAATACACGAGAACTCGCTCATGATCCCAGCCGCTTCCATCTCAAAGCAGAGAACGTCACCTAAACTGCGTGCAGCTGCGCTCCTCTTTGCTGAGCTCTTCAGCACACTGTCGCCCGACGCAATTAGTCCGTAATGAATCACGGAGCCTTCGGGCCGGCGCGATGGCCTCTCTACCGCCTTAGACCTGTCACAACCCGCACACGAAACGCTGGCGCCATCGTGCGCGTAGTCTTCGTGGAACAGAACATCGGATTCTTCGGACGGCCGTTTATAGGTGACAAGTCTCGGTCCCTTTTGGAGCATCGTCGCGACAAAATCTCCAATCTTGTTATCGCTGGCCAGATGGTCAGATCGCATCATCTCCGCGGCACTTCTTAGTATAGATGGCGGAGGCCAAAGTGAACCCTTAAGCAGGAATCCGGCATCGGTATCCTTTCCCAGATCATACTGCACGACTCCCCCAAACTGCCCCTCGGGCATGCTTACAACAACGTCACCCAGGCGGATGTCATGCTTATCGCTGGGGACACCTCCCGCGATGCCCACAAGAAATCGAAATTTGATGCAAGGGAATGTGCGGGCTAAGTTGGTAGCGACCGTTGCGGCAGCCCCCTTTCCCTGCTGACCAGGGAGCCATGCGAGTACAACATTATGACCGCTAAGCTCACCAAGCACATAAATGTTCGAGTCTCCGTCTTTGGCTCGCAGACGGGGATGTTCTCGATCTAGCATGTAGCGGACAGCGCTCATCTCGAAGCTCATGGCGCACACTACCGCAATAGTGTATTCATCGTGAGCCTTGGGGAGCCTGGCCTCATTCTGCATCGTGATACTCCAAATGTTAGTGGCGCTATGATTCAGGTAGCTAAGGAGTCTTACGATGGTCGTGCAACACTGAGTCAAAGCTTATGATGGGGTTTGAATATCACCAAGTTGTGGAACAAGGTGAATTTAGGCTTGGATTTGGGTTTGTTTTCGAGGCTGCAGGTCCGCGTTCTCAATGTCCTAGACCAGGCGATGGCTTAACTTCCAAGCCATAATCCGCAGCAGCCTGATACGGGTGGAAACTACCAGCGCTCATCTTCAAACACGACGAACCAAACTACGACTGATTATTACAGGCCTTGGCGGTTCGCGTCTATCAATAGCTCCTGCGTGCATGTTTAGCCGCCTAGACTCCGTGTTGCAACCAATTATGCATGCGCATGTGGACCAACCCCTCTTCACCCGTCAGCCGTCGTTTGCTCAGCCTGATCGTACGAATGTAAACTCAAGAACGTTGACTCGACCGGTAATTATTATGTTTTACGAAGCTTGAAAACCCATACGATGGAGCGCAAAGCCAAAAGGCCATGGGCTGAGCAAGCCTCTGACTTGTATGACAACCCCCAAAAGCGACAGGCCGTACCTCGAAACAACGATAGTATTGGCGCCTCCCATATCTCACAGGAGCCTGGCGCTCGGTCAGAGTTTGACGGTGTTGGCATTCAACACTCTGGATCCGGCAACTTCAGCGCGCGCGACGTTTACATTGGTAGGCCCTTTGTTGAGCGTCAGTAGACCTAACTGACCAATGAGGAAGGATCAACATCAAACAGTGAACGCGAGCGCGAATTTTTGAGGGACCTGCGTGTCAGCGACCCCCGCGACGACAAACATCGCATCGAGCGCACGAAGGGCGGCCTGTTGCGAGAGTCATACCGCTGGATCCTTGATCATAACGACTTCGGCCGATGGCACTACGACGGACAGAGCCGACTGCTCTGGATCAAGGGCGATCCTGGTAAGGGCAAAACAATGCTACTCTGCGGTATTATCAATGAGTTGGAAAAACAGCCTTCAAACACTTTTCTGTCCTATTTCTTCTGCCAGGCGACGGACATGCGCTTGAACAACGCAACAGCCGTATTACGCGGACTCATTTACTTACTCCTCGATCAACGACCGTCCCTAATCGAACGCTTACGAAAGAAGTATGACCATGCGGGTAAACAGCTGTTCGAAGATGTTAACAGTTGGGATGCCTTATCAAAAATGTTTATCATGATCCTGCAAGACATAGGTTCACAAGATACCTACCTGGTTATCGACGCACTTGACGAATGCGAGACTGGCCTTATCCAGCTTCTACACCTAATCGTCCAAGTATCCTCTTCATCTCAAGCGAAATGGCTAGTTTCTAGCCGCAATAGACGGGATATTGAGCAAATCGTGCGCCCTGCTGAGTCTCGGGCGAGGCTGAGTCTGGAGCTTAGAGAAAATGCAGAGCTTGTTTCTCAGGCTGTTAACGCATACATCTCTCAGTGTGTTTCAGATCTAGTTGTACTTCAAGGAAATCAATTGCTGCAAGATCAAGTCCAGCGGTTAATGCAACTGAAAGCCGACGGAACATTCTTATGGGTTGCTCTGGTGGTTCAAGAGCTCCACAACGCAGAGATTTTGGAAGTCATGGACATCATCAATGATATCCCGAGCAGCCTGGACGAGTTATACGAACGAATGATACGGCAAATCCAAGAGCAAGGGCGGCAGAGACCCGAACTTTGTCGGAAACTTCTATCAACAGTTACCGCCACGTATCGTCCACTTCACTTGAAAGAACTCCAGGCTCTTGTCGATTTGCCGTCTAACATTTCTGACACACATCAAAACATTGTGGCCATTGCAGGTTGGAGCGGTTCTTTCCTCACAATAAGAAACGATGTTGTTTACATTATCCATCAGTCAGCAAAGGACTTCTTAGCCAAGCATGGATTTCTTTTCCCATCTGGTTTAGCACAGGAGCATGACACCATCGCCTTGAGATCGATGCAGATCATGTCGAAAACACTCAGACGCAACATTTATGACATACCTTCGCCGGGATTTCCCATTAACCGAGTCAAGCCCCCCGACCCAGATCCGCTAGCGTCAGCCCGGTATTCTTGTGCCTACTGGGTCAACCATTTTACGGATGCTTCTACCAAGCAGGACCAGCGCGGCCAAGACCTCAATGACAGCAAATTGGTGTACGAATTTTTGAAAAAGCACTTCCTTCACTGGCTGGAGGCGCTTAGTCTTCTTGGGAACGTATCTGAGGGTATTCTCCAAATGTCCAAGCTGGCATATTTGGCTGAGGTGCGTCTTCAAATACAACTTGAATTCTAGAATCATGCTTACCAATAGGACAAAGCTACCAAGAAAAGACTCTAAGCTTACTAATCTGGCTCTGGATGGGTTACGATTTATTCGAGCTAATAGAGTGGGTTTTGAAAACAGCCCTCTTCAGTTGTATACTTCAGCGCTTATGTTCTGCCCTGAAAACAGCATCATTAGAAAGCTATTTTCTTGCGAGGAGCCTGAATGGGTTAATCTAAAACCTGCTATGGAAAAGAAGTGGAATTCATGTCTACAGACTCTCGAGGGCCATGAACACATCGTCTACTCAGCAGTGTTCTCGGGCAACAGTACCCAGCTAGCATCAGCATCGGGTGACGACACGATCAAGGTCTGGAACACTGCTACAGGCCATTGCATTCGGACGCTTAAGGGCCATGATGATAGGGTGTGGTCAGTAGCCTTTTCAGGTGACAGTATTCGGCTAGCATCAGCATCGTGGGACTGCACTGTTAAGATCTGGGACGTTATCACAGGCCAGTGTATCCAGACACTTGAGGGCCATATCGACAGGGTCCACTCCGTAGCCTTCTCGGGCGACAGTACCCAGTTAGTATCAGCATCCAAAGACAAAACTGTCAGGATTTGGGACAGCACTACAGGCCATTGTATTCGGACTCTTGAGGGCCATGATGATAATATCTGGTCAGTAGCCTTTTCGGGTAACAATATGCAGCTAGCGTCAGGGTCAGCAGACAAAACTGTTAAGCTCTGGGATAGTGCGACAGGCCAGTGTCTTTGGACACTTGAGCATAAAGCCGGTGTCAACTCAGTAGCCTTTTCAGGCAACAGCAAGCAGGTTGCATCGGCGTCAGTAGACAATACTGTTAAGGTATGGAGCAGCGCTACGGGCCAGTGTCTCTGGACACTTGAGCATAAAAGCATTGTCAACTCAGTAGCCTTTTCAGGCAACAGCATGCAGCTAGCATCAGCATCACAAGATTTAACCGTTAATGTCTGGGACTGCGCTACAGGCCAGTGTCTCCAGACGTTTAGGGGTCATACGTCGTCCATCTGCTCAGTAGCCTTCTCAAGTGATGGAACTCAGCTCGCATCAACATCAGAGGACAGGACCGTTAAGATCTGGGATATTGATATGAATCAGCATCTACATATACTAAATGGCCATAATGGTGCTGTTTCTTCAATCGCCTCCTCATGCAGCAGCACCCAGGTAGCATCAGCATCGTGGGACTGCACTGTTAAGATCTGGGACGTCATCACAGGCCAGTGCATTCAGACACTTGAGGGCCATAACGACGCGGTCGTGTCAGTAGCCTTCTCAGAAGATAGCAAACAACTAGTATCGACATCAAGTGACGACACTATTAAGATTTGGGACAGCACTACAGGCCAGTGTCTCCGAACGCTTGAGGGCCATGATGGTTATATCTGCTCAGCTGCCTTCTCAAAAGACAGTAAATACCTGGCATCAGCATCGTGGGACAAAACTATCAAGGTCTGGGACAACATAACAGGCCAGTGTCTCCGAACGCTTGAGGGTCATGATGATAGTATTTACTCAGTTGCCTTCTCAAAGGATAGTAAATACCTAGCATCAGCATCGTGGGACAAAACTATCAAGGTCTGGGACAACATTACAGGCCAGTGTCTCCGAACACTTGAGGGCCATGATGATTCTGTTTGGTCAGTTGCCTTCACAAGAGACAGCAAACAACTGGTCTCCTCGTCGTTGGATGGAACCGTCAAGATCTGGGACGGCACCACCGGTCAATGCCATCGAACGCTCAAAATAGGTCGAGTGCTCAATTACATTGCCTTTTCAGAAACCGGACTAGAGCTCTATACGGATATAGGCACTATTGATCTAAGGCATACATCTGCCACCGGTAGATCATCACTACTTCCCACCGGGGGATTGGAACTGCCTCGCTTTTACGGCTATGGTATTAGCGCTGACAAGGTGTGGATTGTAAGGGATTCTGTAAAATTGCTATGGTTGCCGCCTGAGTACCGAACAAGACACTCGGCCGTGGTAGGGTCTACGGTGATCCTCGGTTGCGGCGCAGGCCAGGTTTTATTTTTACAATTTCCGGAGGGCGACATATCTTTGTAGCAATTTTACCTTGTTCTCTTTGTGTTCTTTCATATCCTTTCTTTGGACCATTTATGTCCCTAAGAAGCGTGCAGTAGGAGATCTCAGGAGGAGCCGTTTACTTACATCCCACCTTTTGCCATTGGCATCTTGGACTGGTGTATATGAAAATGGCAAGTAGTAGGGTAACCCTTTTTCGGTACTAGTTGTCTGGTCGCGTGTTCTAAAAATGAGCCTTGCTTAAGAGGTTCAGCTTCGGCACAATGTCTTAACAGATAGGTGACCTATGAATATCCAAATATGTTCCTTTCCTCTCGATAGTTCCGGAGTTATGTCTCGAAGTCCTGGGAATTATGGCTTGATTTTCAGACGAATGTCGCTGCTTTTTTTATGGGGAAACAATGTCCACTTTCCTGTCCATTCATGCTGTGAACATTCGCCTGGTTCCGTAGTTGTAGATGACTCGGCGTTTGATGATGTCACGATAGGAGAAGTCATTTTACAAAGTGGGAGGAAGACTGAACGAATCAATATGTATCCATTTATCGATAAGCTGCCGAAACATGCATTCTAATCATCAACTATGACTTAAGAAATGCAACAAAAGACATATGAAGGGACTATAAATAAATCAAGAGTGATAAAAGAAGAATGGTTCATCGATCAGCTTAAAAATATTTTTGGCTTCCCACCTCGTTAAGCTTCTCGGTCAGAGCACTGTCCTCCGACACCAAATGAATGTTGCGCTGCTCATCCGCTCGCACCCTGACGACCTTGCTCCATACTTCATTCGAAGTGACACCCGCACCAGCATCCCTCAGATCCTCATCAAAAGGCGGCGGCGTCTTGAGTGCAAGTACCACCAGGTCTTGCAGATCCGACCAGGGGATGACGCTTAGCACACGGAAACGCTTCTGCCTCACTCTCGCATTGAAGAGCTCGAGCATGTGTTGGAACCCTACCGACAGGGCGTAGAGCGCGAGTATTCCGAGGTAGATGTGCATCATGGCGAGTGCGAAGTGCAGCGTCTTGCGTTGCTGCCCCGTGCCGTAACCGTACCACTCGACGTCAAAGTCGATTGGCAGCCAGTCAGCAAAAACGCCAAATTTTGTCATGTACTCGATTGTCGAGTGTACGTACTGCTCACCGCCACGCCAATTCCGCAGGGTGTGCGTCTCGTTGAACGTCGTGAAGTTGTACACACCTGATCGACTGCCGTATTGGTCGTTGAGCCAGATGTACCGCAGCTCGTCGTGGCCCTGGCTCAGTCTTAAGTTGGTCTTCCATTGCGAACCTGTACGTGCGAGGCTGTCGGTTAGGTACGTGCCAAAGACTTTGGACAGGAATATCTCCACGCCTGAGATGTTGTTACTGTCAACGGGAGCGAAGCACTGTGCTGTATTTACATTTGAGCTATTACACTTGTCCACAAACAGGTTGACTAGTGTACCGATGGTTGTCGCTGTTTTGTTCGTCCCGATGAGGACCTTGGGGGCGAGGTACTTCAGCCAGTCTTGGTAGAATCTGATGGTTCTACCGTTTTCTATATGATCACCTTTAAAGGTTCTTTGTAGGATTTCTTCTTGATTGAGAGTCGATTTCAGAGTGTCGCTGGTCTCAGGGTCGACAGTGTAGTTGGCAGCTACCCAGCTTGCTAGAAAGTTGCAGGCATAGACAAGGTTCCTGTCGTTCTTTTCCGGAAACTGCCCCGCGATAAAAATCACGGAAGTGTCGTTGTATAACGTAAAGTAACGAGTGGTGGCGATTCGACCATCGAAGTCCGAGTCGTCTAACCATGGTGCATGTCTGATTGGCAGCGGAGGCTGCTGTTGCAATCGCTGGCAATCAGGATCTCCAAAGCATTTCATGTGCTCCATAGGAAATCGGGTCGTGTTAATCTCCTTTTCGTCATATACTTTGCATTTTGACTGTACAAACGGTTGGTAAAGGTATGCGCCTCGAGTGTCCGCTGTCACACTGGCCGGCTTGGTCGTAAGTCTGTAAGGTGTTCTACTTGACACGGCGCCAACGTAATTATCATCAATGTAATCGCGAAACAACCCCAAGCTAACCATAAGGAAATGTGACGGTGTAGTTGAAAGCGTGACAGAGTTGTTCTCTGGGCCGTTTGACTGCGTAAACATCAATTCTCGACGAAGATCGGTGGACGGATGCTGGAACCTGAGACTGTCTTTCAAGTCTGTTGAGCCAAAATTTCGCACCCAGTTCCAGATATCCGTGTACCCGCCTGCCGGACACCAATATTGAGGGAGGCTTGAGATGATATTGCATTGCGTCATGTTTATGGATTCATCAGATGACTCCGTGAGCCTTGCCGGCCAAGTGAAGTTAGGCGATCCTCTATAGGTAAGAGGCATAACAACTTCTGAGAAGGCCGATTTGTGGTCCAGAGGATACCACCCAAGAGTCGGGACGAGCAACACCGCCGATGCAGGGCCGACAATTGTGGACATTATAGTTGCGAAGACCAAAAACCCAGCTAGCAACAACTCCCAAGGTCGATGAAAGTCGATCCCTTGGCGCCTGAAGGAAGGAGAAAAAAGATAGGTCAGATCGCCGACTCGGTAACCGCCAGTCAGGAACCCCAAGCGAACGCCGTCGCTTATCAATCGTCTTCGGAACATCGCGATGGAGATGGAGGCCAGCGACGCGATGATCAGGATCTCGTGGATCTTTGCCGGTAGCTGGAGAAGGTTATTGATGACATTGGCAGGTAAAATGACATCGCGACCTTTTGGTCCCCCTTTGAATCCCTCTTCGGAGTACCAAAACCGGTTCTGCTCACTGATTACGATGAGGGCGATTGTTGCTATCAATGCAGGGACGTGGATCAGCCAGCCACTGGTGAAGCGTCTCCAGTCGCTTCGAGTGACGGGCTTTGGTGTCCCCTCTATTCCGACGGGAGTGGGTTCGGATTTGCTCTCGTTTTGATCACTGCTGGTCCTGTTGGAGGGTGCAATGATGGGTGTGTATGCTCCCGCTCGAGGAGCGTGCAGTTCCCCTGGACTTTCGTCCAGCTCGCCTAGACTCTCGTACTGGCGAGAGAGTAAAGGCCGGACTGATGAAGTGTCTTCACCTTTGAGTTCCACAGTGGGCGAGCCCGCTCTAGGGCATCCAAGCGGTGACTCGTCTGGAGGACCAAGTACGAGGTCGTGGGTCGTCTGGAAGTCAGGCAGCACATCATAGTATCTCTGGCGAGGACCGCCTCTTCGGTGCATCAATTCGATCGAGTCTGTCGATGAGCTCATGGTGTGTCAAATGAGCGCTTTTGGAGACTTGGGTGATGAATGCGCAAGAGCCCGGAAGGAGAAACAGACCTGACTTTTCAGAGATTACTGACAAGGCTGGATGCCCGGTTGATCTTCTTCTATCCCTTATATAACAATCCAGCCTGCTTGGAACGGGTGGGGCGACATCGACATGCAACCCGTCATGAAATACGAAATGACGAGGCAGGCTGCAGAACTGTGAGACCCTAGGCTTTGGGGCTGCACAGCCTTCCGATTAGGTCCTTGTACTTCAAGTTGTCTAGTCAAGTCACTTACAGGGTGGTGTATACAAACCACGGTTCATTCGAAGCCCATTTTTGCGTTCCCGTTGAAATCTACATGAAAATACCGATGGGCGACCAAGTCGCACCTTCTTTGGAAGGCTGGGCCATACTTATAGGCACTCGAGCGCCGATATTCGTGGACAGGTAATAATACCAAAACTCTTGGACAGACCGGTCGCATATTCTGATCGTGGGATAGTACCCGCGCACCATTCAAATGTAAAACCAGATCGTCTCATGGCAGAGCTAACGCGAGACTCCCTGGTTACCCTGTCAATCAGCACTCGGGTTCGCCGAGGTGCGGGAGGGAATGGAAAGGACCCCAAAGGACACCATCTTTCCTCTTATCTCTTCAGCTCCCATACATTGTTCAGCTTTCGGATAAGTGAGGACGTGGTGGGGGGGTTGATCAGGCTGTAGGATTTGAGGTACGTTGTGGCGGTGGCAGCCGTAGTGAAGGAAGAGACAATACGAGCACGAGGGGCAGCAAATCACCCACGGGCTGCGGCCGGCTTCTGCTGACATGTCAAAAGAATGAGCATGTGCCACTACCTCACAGAAAGTCCGGAAATCGTTGCATTGTCATTCGCTGGACATGACGATAGGGCACCTGCGAGTTTCGGCAAGGCTGCGCTGCGATATGCAGACGGGAAGTGCGACTCACACAGACGAATCTTGGCAAGAGCAATCCTCATTATCCAGCAAGGGAGAGGGGGTATCGAAGCCACTGTCTATCAGCTGAAAAATGGTTTGGCCACAAGCGTGCAGATGTCAATGTCTTGAATCTTCATTCAGCCGTGATGGGGTCCAAGAGCCTTATGAGGCATAATAAAGCTTTTCGTTTCTCTTTTGTTGTAGCTTATAGGTCCTTAATTTTCTGGGCGCCGCCATGAAAATATCGTGTCCAGATACCGTCGGCGGTAGGCGTTCACAACGTCTTACGAGTATTGTTTTCACATACACATACACACACACTCTCTCTCTCTATCTTCAAGGCTTTGCGGGAGCCGGACGTTGCGAGCTAAGCAAGTTCGGCTGTCTTGTTTTGTTATCTGTGTCTTAGTCGAGCAGGGTCCGATCAGGACTGCAAAATACCTCCCTCCGTCATCCTGATTATCCCAGCAGCGACTGGAGCAACAGCGATTCTTCCACCGCTACTTGAGACCAGTCAGTGACCTACCTGCCGGCCCGATTCCAGCTCGCGGTATCATTTACGGTTGACAAGTATAGGAGTCTAGAAGCGCTCTGCCTCATTTTGCTGCTGTTCAGGTTGTGAGAGGAGATGGTCACGCCTGACTAGCTCTGATTAGACCCTTCTAGATAGTGTCAAGATTAGGGACCCGTGCTGGCTATGTATGGGAATTTGCGGTGTCCGTGTAATCGTTGCGCCGCCCCTTTATATCACCCTCGGACCCTATGTACACTTTCAATCATCTACTTATGCCGTGGCCGGTCCGTCCCGGGTCTGCACTCTAAGGTACTTCCGCAGGGCACGCGAATCATGACGGGTTGTCGTCCCTATATCCGTCTTCACATCGCGTCGAAACCTACCCCAGAGGGACTTTGAAGGCAACCACGACATTGTTGAAAGGCCTCTTGCCCGATACATGAAAACAGCATCTTTCGCCGTCCTCACCAAACTGCATCCCAAATCAGGCCCAAACAAAAGCCCAACAATATCAAAACCCCCAGAAAAATAGTCCATCCGACCAAACTCACCCTTTCCCCTTTCCATCCAACTATCCCCTGCCGCGTCCTCCCAACCGCGGCCCCGGGAAATTAGCAATATCTCTCCCGAACCCATGTCCAACCACCCCCGGCCACCAGCCTGACGTCGGCCTTATTTCGCCCAGCCCAACGGTCCCGCCCGGCACTCACGTTTAATCATCCCGAATACATTTCCCGTGTACGAGGGGGGGGGGGGGGGGGGGGAAACACAAGTATAACGAAATAAGTTCCAGAATCCTTGTCCGGTGGCGGACCCACATCCCTTTCGCCCCCCCGGGCGGGAGGGGCCAAGCCACGTCTAGCCCCCCCCTTCCCCGTCCCGATCGCTCGGGTCTTGGCTTAGCGTCATCGTCCCCTCGCCCAGGCGTTCTTCAACCGTCTGCGCCGCAGCATGGCCGCAGGGAAGAGGGCGGTGCGAAATGTGAGCCCACCCAATTCCTCTCCCACACCTTCCGGCGGACCGGCCGGGATCAGCTGAGCAGAGGGACGGAGGTCGCGGAACGACATTCGACGTCGGATGCTGGTTCCACTAAACACCTTGTTTAGGTTAAACTTAATCTGAACCGTCTTACGGAGCATGTCACAATGTGATGCGAGTTGGTAGGAAAATTTCATTAGGAGAAATGCTTCTCATATTCTTTCTTGATCTTCATCAACTACTTCAGTAGCGACTGCTCTACCTCTGCTCGTGGTATACTCCTTCTCGTCCTCCGCATTACATCGGGTCCGCCTTCCTCTCTGGTCGGACGCCTGAGATCAATCTCGTCCCACGCATCCGGCGCTGAGCCGGAGCGAAAGACGTGAGACCTCGACATTGAACACATTAATGTACGGGGGTCTATATCTCCGCGTTCCCATTCCATGTACCCCGACCCGGCTCCGTGGGTCCCTCTCCGCCATTGTGGTCATCCATGAGGCCGTTACTCCTAAGCCTGACGAGAATCTTTCATCTCCGGCCGGTTCTGTCGTTTGCAAAATAAAATACCACGATTGCGCCGTTGCTGTGCTGCTGATGCAAATGGTACAGGTAATCCAAAGTGGTATCCGTGTTTAGTCAAAGTGCTGATGATAAGAATCGAACAAAAAAGGTATTGGTGAGGGGTGTGTCTCTGTTTTCCGAGCGTCGTCCGAAGGCTCCGAGTGCGCTCTGCGGCGCTGTGCCAGCATTATGGCCCATCCAGCTCGCGAGTCCTCGCGTTCATTATGGCGGGTCAAGATTAACGTGCGCGTGCTACGCAAGTTAAGCATCAATCTACCGGACGGCCACTTCGGTAAGATGAGGAATTTCGTATCGTTCGTGATCGGGTCGGATCTCGATGCTGAAGATGCTGCGGCCGGATTCTTCGGAAAGCGCAGGGCTCAGGCTTCCGCTGCCCCGGCTCGATGCGCTATAGCTGGAACTGCTACCGACGGCCCACTCGTCGCTGTCGGAGCTGCCGCGTCGCTGGAGGTATCCCATGTTGTACAACCTTCCATACTCTTCGTCGAAGATCTTCGACTGCTCGCCGATCTCGACGTAGTCGTACTCCCAGCGAGTCTTCTTGTCGGCCTGCTGTTGAGGCAGGTATCGGGCCTTGGCGTAGTAGAAGATGCCGGCAGAGAGAAGGGATCCACCGACCAAGTCGACTGCGTAATGGTGGTTGAGATACATGGTTGCCCACCAGATCCATGCAACGTAGATCATGAACAGAGGGCGGAATCGGGGGAAGCAGTAGCTCAGAATAAGAGCCTCCATGACAGCGTCGGCCGCGTGTAGGGAGGGGAAGGCACCGAAAGGCACGGGGGCCGTGGTGAAGCTTGTCGTGTACATGTCGATGCCGAGAATGGCGTCGATACGGGCCAGACCAGCGGGAGATCCTTGCATGCCGTAGGCAGCGGGTGCCAGGCCATGCTCGTTCTCGTACCAAGGAGGAGTGCAGGGGAAGACGAGCTGGATGGTGACACCGAGCACGTTCAGCCATCCGAAGCACTTGGCGAAGACGGGAAGCGTCTTGGGAGCGGCAAAGAGGAACAGGAAGCCGGCGCAGATGAACGGAGCGCCAAAGTGGCCCAGACCGTACGGAATCCAGGCAAGAATGTCGAGGACAGGGTGGGTGTGAGCGGATAGGATATTAGAGAGGTTGGCACCGTAGAGGACGTTCTCGAGGGCGGGCAGAACGCGAACCCAGATGTGAGGGCGGTATTTCGCATCAATAAAGCTGGGACTCGGTCAGCTTGTAATTCTGACATCAAAATTGCAAAAGGAACTTACCGGCTACAAAAGAAATAAATGAGGTATGCCCATATACTCAGTCCCGGAAAGAAGAACTGGCTAGTGACGGGGACTGTCAGAAGCAGGAGGCCGCCAGCGACAGCGAGGGTCTTGATTAGAGGCGCCGAGGGCGTAATGCAGAGCGAGAAGATAATCAGGGCGACCAATATCGTGTACTGCAAATCGAGGAGCCGCCACTTGCGGGTTTGCAGTTTCCGTAATGTGACGAAGGGGTTCAGAGATCGCTGGAGCGAGGTGACATCCTCAGCACCGCCGGTATAGTTGTCGTGCTTCTTCTGATTTCTCTTTGCGCGGCTGGGTCGGTATCGGTGCGGGATAGGGTTGAGCTTGGCGAAGTTGATGTTGCCGGTCCAGAGCGATGGCAGCTTCGGCTTCCCTTGGAGGAAGCTGGCGAAGTCACGCATGGTTACTGATGCCCTCGGGTAGAAAGCAATATTCGAGGATTGCGACGCAAATGCGAGGGGCGGGGTGAGAGGCGATAGTAGGTGTCGGCGAAGAGGACCTCGCGGGGGTGAAGGTCTTCTTCCGGGGTGCGTCGACTTGTCCGTGTCTGACTAAAACCAAAACATCCGGTATGTTTCCTTGTATGGTCTTGGATGTGTCTCTCGATGACCAGTTACGTCACGTCCCAGTGAGCAACCTGTTGGAATTCCCCAAAACTTCCTGATCCTCTGGTTCGCGTCCTGTAAGTGGATGGTGGCCGCCGGAGGGAGGAAATAGGTGAATAATCAACGGGCGGCGGAGGGAGTCTTGAAGGCGAAGGGCTTTGGTGAGGGAGGGGAGGACGAGGTCATAAGGGAATGAGACAAGCAACAAAGTTACGGAAAGTGTGGATGACTAGACTGATATGTATGGCGAGGCAGCGGAACGGACGGGCAAAGCGGCAGGGGCAGGCAAAGTATGTAGGTTAAGGTAAGGCAGAGAAGGGATAGAGTCACAAAAGAGGACCGGAGACAGGACCAGACAAGGTCCAAGGTCCAAGACTTGCCAGAGGGGAGGCCGAGCTTTGGATTTTTGCTGGAGCCCACGGTTTGTGCTATGTAAGAGCCCATAGGTACCCAAGACACCCAAGACAGAGCGGAAAGGTACCAAGAGAGACCAAGCCGGCCTACGGAAGCGGCGGGGACCGGGGTGCTTGTCAGAGACCGAGAGATTTTGGGTGCAGCGACATGGAGTGGATGTAGGTATGTGTGTGTGTGTGTGCCCGTCCGTCCTTTCTTCGCGGGCAGACCAAAGTATCGAGTACTGTACCCTTACGCAGATTGCTTTGCGGATGGGTACAGAGTACGTATCGTGGGTACCTTCACTTCCCTTCCTTTGGTGGGTTGCAAGTCTCCCGTCCCTACACAGCTGACCAAGGCCAGGGGGCGTCGGGCGGTAAGTGATCCGTTGCAGCGCGTGGGACGCTGGGACTGGCAAACTGAGGACGCCGAATCGAATCAAGATGGAGCTATGATGCTCTGCTGCTTCATTCGGGGGTCCCTGGGGTCCCTTAACATGACTTTCTTGGCGTCTCTGCCTGCGTTCCGAATACTCATCGTCGCGCTGTTGCTAGGTGGTTCAGAGCCCACCACCGTTCAGAGTGTCGGATTCTGCTTCCTTGCGTTCTCCCGCACGGAGGAGGAGGGAAGGCGAGGCAGGCTGATGCCAATTGCAACTCTGCCCTCCTTCCCGCCCCCTCCGGATCGACTTGTCATGATTGTTGCTGAAAGCTGGCAAGCTCGGCGCCATCTCCCCGGAGGTCTCATGGCGATCTTTCTGGGGTGGTTGGATAGCGCTGGTCACGTCCATGATGATGACTGACTACGGTGAGTGAACGAGTGAGTGACTGACAACCAGTGGCCTGCCCGCTTGACAGATGCGAAGCGAATACTCGTACTGTCAACGACGTGGTAGGCTCTGTTGGGGCCATCTTAGTCTGTGGTAGCCAAAGGAAGGGGGGAAAAGTCGCACACACGACCAAATGCGAAAAACGCTCGGATGCTGCGGCTCGGGTACAGGTACATTTCAATGGAGCGGGGGACAGGGGGTACGTACTGCGTCAGAGTCACGCGTGCTTTGCTTCTTTTTGGGTGATGGAAGATGCACGGCCCTGTCCTGAGAGAAACATGAGCAGGGATCAGATACTGCACGCTCCCTGCAGTTGATCGGGCAAGTTCGATGGGAGGGTACGTACCCCTTACTGCGACTGTAGTGTAAGTCCGCTTTCCGCCGCCGCTGCGCTGTCCAGCGTGCACTGGGAGCAAGTGGGCGACGGGCCCTTCCTTACGTGATGATGCTGGCTTGCAGTAGAACCCGCCTTTGCCCGGACCCGGTAATACCTCTACTGTACGTAGTGCACTAGTAACGCCAGTATCCATTTTTGCTTCGATTTTTCTGCTTCGATTTTTTTTCCTTCCTCCTCCGTCACATTTTCGGGTCTCGCCCTTCGCATTTCTTGCGTGTGGATTACATCGCTCATGACAAAGGAGGAAAAAAATTTAAAGCTACGGAACATCTCCGTGGTGGACCTGATTAGTGATTCGATCTAGAAGCCGTGGTCTGTTCGTGGTTCCCTTCCACCATCTACAGTTAACCAACCATCAGTGGCGGTTACATTGGATTCGAGCCTAAGCCTCTTTAGACGCTCTCCTCTACCTAGGTATTTGAAAGAAGAAAAAAAAATTGGTTTTATGGTTCGTCTTTACAAATCGCGGGCGGCTTCATCTCGTCCATCCTCAAACCCGCAAAGTCCACCCCCGGTCCCCGACGAATCGGCGCATCGCACTTTGCTGGACCTGGCCCTGCAAGCGCGCGCCCATCAGCTGCACCCAAGCCAGTCACAGAAAGACAAGATGTGTGTCGCGTGAGTGCTGACATGTGTATATGGTCGGCCGGCAGGGCTGATGATGAACTACTGTACTATAGTACCCCCCGTCCCAACAATACTGTTTGAGCTCTCGCGTCGCAGCGTGTCGCAGACTAATAAGGAGAAGCAAGCAGCAACTGGCACACTGACGTACTAGGCATGTGTGCAATTGCAACCCCCTGAAATCAATCCATTTCGGTGAAACAATCAGCTGCTGTTCACACGATTTCCAGAGTATCACCGCTATCTTTTGACCCGGCTACGTTCCAAGGCCTGTCCTGTCCCAGCCGCGCGGAAGCACATTGTAAAACCGGGAGGTTGGATCTCGCTGGAAACATCCCGCTCACCTGCCGGTGCCGGTAGTAGCAGTTCATACCACTCGGGCATTGCTCGTGGGCGCGAATCTCGATTTCCGAGGCCCATCGGCGCGCGGTGGGTGCAAGCCCGGGAGAAAGAAAGCCATCGTGATCGATCTCAGACAGCCCACACAAAGAGTAGTGCTAGAGGAGTCATCATTGGGCCCGACGCAATCGGCGCCATACCGCGGAACGAAAGAGTCGCAGTGGTCGGTACATCGGCCTGACCACTGGCCCGTCCGACGTTGTCGACTGTGATTCAGATTTGTGGCCTGACGAGAGGCGTTGGGGACCGTCACTGTCAAGATGGGGCTTGCAGTCAGTGGCTTGCGATGGCTTCGAGCCTAGTGGGAAAACAACAGTGCTAGCCAAAAGAACAGAGCCCCTCCCTTTTGGACCTTCCCACTGCCGGCCGCGACTTATCTAATCCATCGTCCCGCCGTCTCCGGCACCGACGCCCAAGTGCGATGGGAACGAAGGGTATCCTGCATGCCATTAGCTCCGTCCCGCCCGGTAATCAGCGAAGAAGGGGCGCGAGAAAACCCCTCGACACTACCGTGCCAGCATCATCGAGGCTCTGCGAAAGTGGCATCACCCTTGATGGTGCCGAAATTAGCGCCAAAAGAATGCCATCTCAACTTCACCGACTCGAGAGTCGATGGCCGGGACCTCGACGAAGTACAGGCCAGATCAGGATGGATGCAAGATCTGTCCGAAAGACAAAAGTCTCAGTCGGTCTCGAGTCAACAAGCGCCGTCGCATCATCCAGGCCCTTTACCGCCATAATCACATACACACACACACACACACAAACCACAGAGGCTGGTAGGGAGCAAGGGGCCAGAGGGAGCCGACAAGGCCAGATGCGAAATGATTGGGGACCGTGGTGACGACGACTTGCCCTATGTCTTAGCGCCCAGAGGTTGGAGGAGAGGCCAAGTCCCAGTTGTGCCAGTGGAGAGCAAGCGCGCCCAAACGAGCCCGCGTGTCCGCTGGCAGTGAGATTGACCAGGCCAAATGAGAGACAGGGACACTGAACGGGAGCGTGGGATGCAGTTCCGGGGTGCTCCTCCCCATTGCTACTGGCATCGAGTAAGAGAGGGTGAGAGACGAACAGAGACTGTGATGGTTACGGTAGGAGCAGGTGAGGTTGGGCAAGGACCTCCCAGTACGCGGATTCTTCGGTGTAGGCAGGTGCCAGAAGTATCGGTACCTCCGCCCGCCTCGGACGAGGTCTTCTTGCCCCACCTTCCACCAGGGAAGCACCAGCTGCTGACTTCATTTCCTTTGCGATGCCCCACTTGGCGGGCGATGTTCCTGGACCCAGACCCTCCCATGGCTCCCTTTCCGTCCATCCACATCGCATACCTAGCTCCCCACTGTCGTCATGAATTTTTCTTGAACCAATTTTTCTTTTCTTTGTCGCCCGGCTAGCCTGCTTACGGAAGACGCGCAATTTTCCCCTTCGCTTAGTCCCGGACTCCATTTGTTTCCCGCGCGACCGTTCTCCGTCCAGCGAGCGAGAAGGACGCCGCTGTCCGCTCGACGAGCCGGCGTCGGCCAAGGACAGACCTCCGCATCCCGTTCGCTCCTTTTTCGTCCTTCCATTCGCCTCCCTTACCTGTTGGATAGCGAGCACTCCTGCTTGTGCCAGGAGCGTTTACGTGGTGTGCAGATACGCAGCAAGCAGGTAATACACCACCCCTCCCGGCCACCTTTCGCCGGTCTGTGACACCCCCGCTGCCTTGACACCGGGGCAGATACGCTGTGTACACGGACAGACACGGCCGTCACTGGATCGGACGACGCTTTACACGTGTGTGTGAATTGGCGATAGGGGAGGTCGTGGCGCATTACATATGCGACCAAGTTGGGTTCCTAACTTTGGCTACAGCGAAACGCTCCGCACCTGAGGTTCTGCGACCGAGAGGTGAGTGTGTGGAGTCTGGACCAGACACACCAACACCTACCCTCCCCGTTCATGTCGCCACTACTCACCTTCATGCCTCGCCGAAATCAAACCCCATCAAACGAAAGCCCAAAAAGTGGCATCTCGTGATCCTGCATCCTTCTCGCATGACTTTCTCGCATCTCGCATCAACAGCCCCTGCTGCTGGCTTTGGGGGTTGTTTCCGCCTGCATGCGATCCTGCCAATCGTTGCGGTTTCCCTCCGCAATACGCGGAAGACAACCGAATGCG